TGTGAAAGTATGTAGAGCTATTTGGAAGGCAGTGATTTGTCTTAAAATTAAAAAAAAAAAAAATGTTTTTCAAATACCAGCGTGACTTCTTTTTTTTAAAACCCTCAGGCAAAGACATCCGTTCATTGTATGTGAAGAAACTCTAAAGTGCAGTAAACAAAATAATCATCTACTAGGTTTACAACGGAAACCAGACAAAATGACAGCCTTTAGTATTATATGTATGTCAAGTTTGACGTTAGACAGTTTCTTAAATATCACATTCTTGAGGCTAATACATTAAAATGTTTAACTTTATCGAAATATCCACGGTACGGTAAAATTAATTTTCAGGTAATAAAAATACAAAAAAAAAATTTTCAAAAAAATATTAGAACAAATTTTTGATTTTTAAATGTAAAAGTTTATAAACGGAAAATTATTTTTGTAAAATCTCTTATGCAAATTGTATGGGAAAAAAGAAATATCAGGAATTTCATGTGAAAATCATATTCTAAATTTAACATAAACGATACATTGAAATGCATGATTTGCAATAGGAACTGAGAATTTCTTGGGACTCGTATATGAAATTTTCATGGAAAAAATAAAATGGTGATAGATTTACGAAATGGGATTGATCGACAGACTGATTATTATCTCTCTGAGACTGAAAAGTCAAGAACCGAGTTTGTTGTTGGACCATGCAAACTTTTACTTGCAAATGTTGAGCATCTCTTGCAATGACTTGTAATGAAGTTAATGACGAGTGGAAACTGTTGGTCCAATATATATATATACCAAGATCTCGAACACGAGAAACGCATGATCAGCCACGAGTAGAGATGGATGTTTCTGAATTCTCTCTCAATTTCAAGAGAATCCATCAAAACGTGAGAAAGTCACTGGTTTAAGAAAAAAAGGTCACACTGAGAGAGGCAAAAATAATGCATTAAGGATGAATCGGACAAACAATTGGTGTGCCGTTGTAAAATTTTTTTATTAGATTCTTAATTTAATTTACGTAACATTTGGACAAAATATTTTTTTATTAATAAGGAATTAAAAAGGGTTCCTAACTTACCCTAATATTGGGATATATTTGTGATCGAAAAGAATATTTTTTTCATTAAAATTCAAAATTTTTTTTATTAATATCATTTCTATACCCATCTGATATCGTTTAGTACAACTTTTGAAAATTAGTTTTTTTGTTAAAAATAATCAGTTTTAAGTATAAATTAATGTCTCCCAATCCTTTTGGCATAAGAAAAATAAAGTGTTTTACGATTTTGTTACTCTACGAAAATAATCATTACAATTTCACGGGTTTTGAAGTCACAAAAATAAAATATAATTTTACTGCTTTGCAAAGTATATAATTATGGACTAGTTTTATTTACTCAATAAAACTTTCTTTGAACAACAAATTAAGTTTTGGTATAGTTATAAGCAGAAATGATTCTTTGTCTATAGAGAATAGTAACATTGTGCAACGCCCTGACAAGAACAATGAATTACCATAAAAATCATTAGTTTAAATTTTAAAAAATTACATAAGTTATAATTAATTTTTAAACGAATTTTCATTTTTCTAATTTGAATTTGATAAAATTTCTTTTTAAACAATATTTCACTTTAAAAAAATTTTTTAGCTTTTTTATATTTTGCAAAATATTTCTTTGCTCAAATTTTTATTTAAAACATTCAAATTTAACCGACTATATTTATTTGTCCGCATTTTTTATTTTTATTTATCATTTGCCAGAAAGATTTCGACGTGAATTTTTAAATTGATCAATTAGAATTTATAAAAAAGTAAGATTCAATTTTAAAATTAATGCCGAAATCTTTCTGTGGATTGTTTTTCCTCCATTTGCAAAATTTCGGACAAATGAAAATTCGGCGTTTTAAGAATTATATTAAACAACAATTTAGTGAAATAAAAACTAGGTAGGGCGACACTTTTTCCAGTGGACATTTTTTCCAAAAAATCATGTTCCCAAAGGAACATTATATCCAGTGCAGAAATTTGAGTTAAATTTTAATAGGGACCTCGCTGTGCGTCTCTTTTGCCAGATGGGTTCCGGAAGGGAAACTCTAGGCGGGACCCGGCATTTTTCGTCACGATCGACGCCAGCGAGGAATGTTGGTAGGGATCTAGCAAGGATATCCCTGCGATTTCCCTACCAGAAGTAAAGGGTTCTCGCTAGAACCCTATTAGCTCCCTTTAATCGATTATTATTAAATAAAAATTAATAAATATTTAATAAATCCATTTATATAAAGATCCAACGTCCTTTCTTCCGTGTGTGTTTTTGAAATTGTAGAGTTAAAAACGCCCGTTATGCTATTTACTATAGCCGTGAAGTTTAATTGAACTTCCTAACCTCCAAATAGTACTAACACAAATTTTAACCAGAATTATAAATAAAAAAGTTAGAAATCATAATATTACCTGAAGAAATTGGAATAATCATAGTAAAAATTAAAAATTTGCAATAATGATATTAACATAAAGACAAAATTTGAGGTTAGAAAACCAATCAATATATTTTTTACTTTTAATATTCTAAGTACATATTTCATGTTTGTTGGCTTAATATTAAATATTCTTAAATTGATAATATTATGTTAATATTTATCTTCTGATAAAGAAGATGAGTGATTATTTTCCATTATTAATTAACAAAAGAACAATAAAATTCAGGTTCACACAAAATGACATGTGCACTTGCACCATTCATGTCATCATTCTCGACGATGGAACATCGATATATTGAAAACTTCGATACATCGATTTCGATATTTTCGATTTAAATTTAAATATTATTTTTAAATTAAATAAAAAGTGAAACTATATATAATAATGTAATTTATTAATAATATTATTTTGATTCTATCACTCGGTGGTATTTAATAATAAATTTAATTTATTTAATAATTTTATTATTATAATTTATTATTATTAATATTTATTCTTTTTATTATTATTTCTAAAACGAACATTTTAAAAATATTTGTGTCCCTTATTGAACATAATTAAATTCATATTTTAAATAAAGAAAACATCGAAAAATAATCTAAGTCCGATTCGAGGTATTTCTGGCTAGAATTTAGTAAGGGCTTAATCAGATTTTTCTAGTTTGAATTGCCTTTCTAGAATTCAAACGGGATCTCAGCAAATATTTCTAGTCTGAATTTCTCACAAGAATCGAATCAGGTTCAAGTACGACTTTTCTAGCGCGGTTCTAGTCGGAATCCATTATCACATTGGGAAGCTTAGGGACATTTCTACACAGGATTATATTACAATACAAAAAATTTCCAATATTAAGTAAAGTGGCTCTACTGCTTTTAATAAGTTCAGCCATGACTTTAAAATCTTGATGTATGGAATTTAAAACCAAAACAACTAATAATATGAAAGGAAACAAAAAAAAATCGGCATTCTGAAAATTTATATACATATCGGAAAAAACCTCAGCTTTCGTTTGCATTTTTAGTGAAAATAGGAAATTTATTTATTTTTTTTTAAATATTTAAATATATTTAAAATATTTAAATTTATATATAAATCTTCGTGTCGTTATTACAGTCATAATAGTAGAATATTTAATAAAACAAATAGTAAGCTAAGTTAATAACTTTTCAACACTGAAGAGATTGAGAATATATAACTGTGTTAATGATTCAATAACACGGAAAAAATCGATAAAAATTAACGAAGTGTGTCTAAAGAGTTACGAATTGTGGCTAATGAAGTATAAGAGGTGTTCACGATTCTTTTCAAAAGAATTGCCAGTTCCGCTCCCAAAAGCACGTAATTCATATTTTTTAAAAAAAAATACTTCCTTCTCATAATTTTATTGTTATTTAATTAAAGCTTTTAATTTAATTGAAAATTAAGATATCCACCATTTTTATCATTTGAAATATAAATTAATTAAAAATTTTATATATTGAAGTTTTTATAACAATTTAATTCGAGATTCAGTTAAATTAAAAGTATTGAATTTAAAATTTTTGAGAAATCGTTTGATAGATGAATTAATTTTAGAATTAATTAAAATTAGAGTCAATGAATATTTTATTAAAGGAAAATTAAAATTTGTTGAAATTTTGATAAATTGAATTTGAAGTTACTTAAAATTAGAATTAATTCAAAAGATCGTTTAAAATTTGTGACTCAAATTTAGAGTAAATTTAAATTGATGAATATTTTAAGAAATTGAAATTTAGATAAATGAATTAAAATTTTGATAAGATTTTATTTTATTTACAATTTAAAATAATTAATATATTTATAAGAATACTATTTTTACGTTTAATGTATGTTTTCACAAACTGTCAAATCTTATTGTCAAGAAAAGTTTTTCTGTACAGACATGTGAGAATTATTTTCAGTATTATGTTTCGGTTTAAAGAAAGCATTGATCCGTCTTTCCTTTCTCACGGACTTTATAAAGACCTTGAAGAACTTCTTTCCCTTTTAATTTAACAGTGGTTGTTTCAAGATTTCGCAATGTTCAAAAAAAATTTAACTGATAAAATTGTAAGCGAGAAGTTTGTCTTAAAAAAAATTTTTTTTTTCTCGCTTCGTTGAGAGTCAATTATTCAATATAACATCGAGACGTAATAATTCTTAAAATTGTTAGTAAATTTTTGACTATTGAAATACAACTTCAATGCTCCCTTAAACGAATGAATTTCTTAATTTATGAATAAATTCATTTATTAAAAAAAAAAAAATAATTTCATTGTTTAACCAAATACTACTTATTATATATTTTTTTAATTCACTTGGAATCTGGAGGAATAAAATTAAAAAAATAAATTCCAATAATTCTTTGTTCCAAAAACCAAAAGATCTAATAATTATTTTTTCAATTACCAAAAATTCTAAAATTTGTTTCAAATTCTTCAGAAACTTTTCCATGCTATTATTGATAATCATCAATTTTTATTAAGTTATTTACGTTTAAAATAGAATTTAAAATTGTTTCTAAAAATTTACTTACCTTATGATTTCTAGGCTGTCTTGATAAATTACTCCGACCGTTGATGAGAATGTTGTCATTTAAGAAAGACACATCACAAGGAGAAGGTGGACCTCCAGAAATTTCCCAATCAGATTCATCGGTCGTCGAAGCATCCAAAGTCGCGTCTAATACTATAATACCTCCTTCAGTAACCTTAAAATAAATAATTTTTTATTAATTTTCAAATTCGAAGTCTTAAAAAATAAAAACAGATTTAAGTTTTTTAATAATTTATTTAATTATTTTGCAATTTTTAAATCCATTTTTAGTTTCAAATAATTGTTTTCGTTTCGAATAAAAAAGGATCTAAATATTGTTTAGAAATTGTAATACATTCCACCAAGTAAAATTTCGCAATTACACAAACAATACAAAATTAAAAAAAAATTTATTAACAATTGCTGATGAAACAAAAGAATAAAAAAATGTTTTGAGTAATTTCTTCGATTACACATACGGTATAGAAAATTCTTTTGTATGATTTTTATAGAGAAGTTTTATTAATGCACATAATATATTGGTATGTACTTCGGATATGTTTGTGAAGTATTTTATCCACAGACGACGCTCCAACTACAGTTATTATAAAGACCTACATATTCATTACTTTTCAATGATCAGATCTCAAGACTTTTCCTCAAGGTCGTTGAGAGAATTCGCACACACATAATACGAGATAGAGCTTTCTTCAACGCAAATAGAAACAGCAAAGCCATACTATCATCGCATAAACATAAAGAACTTGATTTATCATCGTGTACACTGTGCTCTCAATGAATAACTACATATCTGCATGCATTTATTTATATAAAAAAAAGAAATGAATACGAAAACACATATATAGCAAAATATAAGCGAGTAAATTTCCTTTGTGATTTTTACAAACCAAATACAGCATCAATATTGATATCGTTAAATTCATTGTGTTCTGAATACAATACTTTATATGCTATTCAATAAAAAACAAAACTCGAATTAATAACAAAAATATATTCGGAAACTATTATTAATAGCGCATGAATTTCCCATGAAAATTAATGGCTAGAAGTTTTTTATCTTTAAGAATTTTATGTGATTTTTATGTTCCAGACCTCCTAAAAAAAATTTTTTTTAACCCGTTAAGAACGGGATGGACACATTTTATTATCGATTTCCATTGACGTATTTCTCTGCAAGTACAAATTTAAAATAATTCAGGAGTACTGTTCCTTATGTATTTAAGATCGCTATTCCAAAAACCGTAATCGAAATTGAAAAAAAATAAATAAAATTTTTTCGAAGTTATTAGGTATTAAAAAATGCTTGAAACCTTCAGATATCGTGTCCTAAATGTTCAAACATGAAAATAGGGCAAAAGGTTTTTTTTAAATTCAAGATAACGTACCAAAAATGGCGTCCAAATCAAAATTTTTTTTCCAAAATCGTAACCTAGAATATAAAATTTTCAAAAATGATTAAATTTTTTTGAAACTTTTTACTCGGGGGTTTTTTGGATCGTTAGTTACGAATCCGATGTTAGTTTTTCAAAATTCAAAATGGCGGATCCAATATGGCGGACAAGTTTATAAAAAAATTATTAGATTTTTATGCAAATCAGTATCTAGGGGTTTTTGGGATCGCTGATTACGAATCCGATGTTAGTTTTTCAAGATTCAAAATGTCGAATCCAATATGGCGGACGACTTTTCAAAAAATCCATCCAATTTGCTTGAAACTTATTACACGGAGTTCTTTGGGGTCGCTAATTAGAAATTTTACATTAAAATCTTTAGAGAGTTATCTCTGATTAATCAGAGACGCCAAAAAAACCTTCGAGTAACAAATTTCAAGCTATTTTTTTGTAGTAATGAAATATTGAAATTTTATTGTTTCCATTATTTCAAATTCTTAAAAATGATTTTTTTGTTAACCCGGCGAGTATGTGGCGCGAAACTGTTACACCGACTATGTGGTGGGCATGACATGCCCACGTGAAAAGATTACCGGTAAACTCCGCGAAGTAGCTCCGCGGAATTTCCGCAGAGCAGCTCCGCGGATTTTCCGCGAAATTTCCGCAAATTTTTTTTTGCATAATAATATATTTATGTTATTATTTAAAGTAATATAATATTAAATTCAATACATTCTATTTAAATTACGTTTTATACTTTAGTTAACAACTGAGACAAGATTTACTGTTAGACACGTCAATTTTTTGAAAAAAATATATTGATAACCTTTAGGATAGTTTCGTGGTTACAATCGGTAAGGATTTTTTAAGGATTTTAACATTTCAAGACATGATGAAAATACGAAGCATTAGAAGAATAACAAATCGATGTCACTCAAGAACTAGGCAGCAGCAAGAATACAATTTTTTGGGGATGTTAAACATATGTCGTATAAAATTTTCATATTACGAAGCCTTCAATAAGTAACGGTAACGACCGGGAAATCATTTCTTTTTCCAAACCTTTTTAAGAGCTTATAACCTGTATTTAGATTATAAAGTTATTTTCTGAAAGTTTTAATTGTAACCTAATTTAACCCTACTAAAAATTAAAATATATAATGAGTGAAATAAATTTTATTAAATAAATAGAAATCAGTATCATATGGCAAATGCATTTTTATTTTTTTATTAATAAAATTTTTATATGAAATGAATTTTATTATTGTCTTATAAAAAGGATAAATACAAGTAAAAAACTATTTAATCTATTATATATTTAACTCTCTTTAATGCAATAATCTGATATCAATTTTGGGATTACTTTTTTAAGTAGAAAAGAAAAATACATACATCTTTACCGGCTATAACCGTGAACCTATTTTTATAGTTTTCAATTTTTTGTTAACAAAATTAGTGTCAAAGTCTTCTCTCACTTGTTAACTAAAAATTAAAAAGTAATTTTAAGTAGAATATACACAATTTAATTTTATATTATTTTAAATATTAACATAAATATATTATTATGCAAAAAAAAAATTTGCGGAAAATCTGCGGAGCTGCTCTGCGGAAATTCCGCGGAGCTACTTCGCGGAGTTTACCGGTAATCTTTGACTGTAAAATTGCTATTAGAAGTTAGATTTTACTATATTAAGTTAATTTTTGGTATTATATTATAAAAAGGTATCTAATAAATACACTACGATAACTCTAGCTACTCGAAGTGCCAACACGCCAGAATGAAAATTATAGGAATTAATATATTTCAAGTAAATGTGGGGCATGAGATGCCCAACCACATACTCGCCGGGTTAATTTTCTTAGTTTTATTGATATAGTAATGGCAAAATAGCTTTTTTAAGATTTTGCCTATTTAATGAGAGGGTACACCAATATTTTTAACTGTATCAAAAAAAATAATTTAAATATTCCATAAAATTGTTTTTAAATAGTAATTCTTTGAGAGGAATTGAATGGTCGTATAATAAATTCGGTCAGAAAATATTTTGAACCTTTTTGAATTTTTACTTTTCATAAAAATTGATAGATTTAGAAATCCATCCATAATTTTGTAGAAAACATATGTTTTTGTATTCACAAAAAACTGCTGAATGAAAAAATTAATTTTTTTTGAAAAAAAATTAATTTTAGGCTGAAAATGCTGAAAAATACAATTGTGAATTAGAAATTCTGGCATTTAGAAATTTAAATCACTTAAATGCCTGAGAATTCTGTGAAATTAATATTTGGTTAAATTAGAATTTTTTGAATAAAAAGTCAAAATCTGTTGAGTAACAATTCGTTAAAAAAAAAACCAAATGTTAATTCAAAATAATTTGTTATAAAAATGTTTGTCAAATTCCGAAAAGATTTTATTTCTTTTTCAAATGCATTAGTAGTTTTCTCGGCAGCTAGAATATTGCTTAAACTGTCAATACAAAATAATTATAATTCGAATATAATAAATGCAAATTGCTACATTCAAATATTATGAATTTAGTTATCTTTGTTTCCAAAGCCTATATCTAATTTTTTTTAAATTAAAGAATTGAGATAAAAACAATATATTTTTTTATGTAAAAATTTATTGTGCTTTCACAAAAATTATTATATTGTCGATTGTTATGAAATTAGATCATAAAAAATTAAGTGTTTTTTTTTACTTAATATAAAACTTTTCCATTATACCTGGGGTTTTACTTCCTTTAGCAGAAAATAACACTGTCATTAGCCAATTTAATAAAAAGAAAGTAAATTTGGAATTCTATAAAAACTAGTATATTTATAACGTACGTACATTATGTTTAAACATAATAAACATTATGTTTAATTTATTACGATTTCTCATCAAAGGGTACGTACGTACGTATTACGTATTTCTTCGTTTCAATATCCCTTCATCAGTCATAATATCCTTTTTTCCAGTATCTTATACTTTTGTCTTTAATCAATGGTTAAAATAAAAATATAAGATATACGGATTGACAGGATGTACATTTTGTATCGCAACTATGTAATTTTTTTTTACCGCATGCCAAGAGCAATATTTCTTTATTTATAGTCATTTATATCGAATAAATTTTAAATAACTTAATGAATATTTAAAAGCATTTATTTATTATTTTTCATTATATTTTTATTTCCCGTCGTAATTGTTACTATTCTATTATTTTTGCTATTTATTATTATTTCATTTCTTTTTTTATATCCATTCTTTCAAGTTAATAAAATTTATTTTTAATAAAATTTTTTTACTTAATTAAATTCTAAAGTATCAATAATAGAAAGAAAGTTTATATTTTCTAGTGCGGTGAAAAATTGTAGTTGTTTTTCAATTTTATTTTAACGATCGCACAGTAACAAGGATAAATTACTTTGAAAGAAATAAAATTGATTTATTAGTGTGCTTCATACTGATGTTCTTTTTAGTTGTTATCTTTAATTTTCACTTCCAGGTGTGCATTATTATTATTATTATTGATTTCGCTCATTTGTCAATAATATTAATTAATAATATTAGTAATACTTTAATTAATATATTAATTAATAGTATTAGTAATACTTTATTTAATATATTAATTACATTACAATTGATATTGTAGTTTTGAAATCTTTTTCATATTTTTTTCAATAATTGTAGATTTTTCGATTTTTTTAAAATAAATTTTGACACGATTGTAATTTTTATAGTTGTAGCTAATACCAATGTTTAAAAACTAATTGCTAGGTGTGTATATATATAAACGCTTCCTGTTTTCACTAAAAGTAAATTTGTTTATTGAATAAGTTTATAAAAGTATTGAAAAATAAGATATCCCTCACTTATACTTTCTGCTACACTTTTTAGCATTCATGTTTAAGAAATATTATCGTAATGGCCGTTAAATGTAATATATTCTGCATGTAATTTGAAGTTGAAAAAAATTTCTGATGTGCGGTTTTCCACGTGGAAAAGTCAAGGCTCGTTTCCCTTTTCCGTTCTTTTACGATGCTATTTCACATTCTCTTTAATATACATATTATGCGCGTTGCAAAAGTTTCTTGGGTTCATTGCACATTTTTTTTTCTATTTTTATTTGACAATACTCATCAGAAAAAATAATTATCTTACAGTACAAATTTTTAAACATTCGATTTTTTAACAAAATCCTATCTTTTTCTAATTCGAACTTTTGAAAATTAGATTTTCTATAATAATTCGAACTTTTAATAATTCAAATTTTTAAAAATTTTATATTTTTGTAATTCAAAATTTTAGAAATTCCATCGTTTGGTAATTCAAACTTTCAACAATTCGATTGTTTTGTTATATTCAAACTTTTACCAGTTCGATAAAATGGTCTTATGCGAGAAAATAAATGCATTTCTGACAAAAAAATTCAAGTTTTAATTCGATAAGAAATTACTTATCTAGTATGTATATATATCACCCAAGTATACCTGTAATATATATAATATACGTAGTTACATAATTTCTTACATATTTTATAAATTCTTATCTTTTGAAACTACTATACAGTTCATTTTTTCCGTCATTAATATTGATGTCTTTAAATAAAGAAGAGTTTTGAATTTTTATCCGATTTAAGTTTTTTTTTTGTATTCGGTTAAATTAAATTTTTTTAACTATACGAAGTTAAGTAAATAGAAATTTTGTAAAATTAAAAAATTCGACACCTAAAAATGGTGTTTAGTAAAAAATTATGACATTTCGATGAAATAAAATTGGTTCACAATTAAAATTACTTCCTGAAGCAAGAATACGGAGGTTCGTATGTTGATGAAAGAAAAGAAGCTATGTATAAGCACTTCCGTTGCCATGACAGTTGGGCATGGGCTCACAGTCAGTCATTATAAAAAAAAAAGAGAACCGCCTTTCAATTCCGTCCTTCAGAATGAAACATCCTGCGCCGGATTAAAATGCGAATATTATCAGCCCAAAAAGTATAGGCCTTTTCACTATAAAGGCTTATAATTTAAACATTAGAAGGAATATAATAATAATAATAATAATAATAATAATAATAATATAAAATATAATTATTTAAATATTTAGGCCCAAATTTTCTAAAAAACAATTTTATTCTTTTTTCAAAATTTCTTATAAATATATTCGAGTTGGGGTGAACGATATAATATTTTGCGACTGGAAACAAAAAAAAAAACCCAAAACCAGTCTTAGAATTCTTTTCAATTAGTCAACTTCCTTAAAGATGACTCGTCTTTACCGTTAATACGACAAGATGTTATAAAAATTTTGATTGTCACTATGCTCTTCAATTACAGGATTTAATCCACTATTAAGAAAAATATTCTTACCTTTAAAAATGGTTAATAAAATATTTAAAAAAAAAAATCTACAATTACTTTCCAAGTCACCTAACGGTATATATATTCTGTTCTCCCTTTACTGATCGAATTATTGTTTACAATGTTTGTCGTTTGCTTTGAGAGAATTCTAGTTATAGGATATTTTTTAATCTGAAAAATACGGTCACGGATCATAACCTAAAATCATATTACGGACCAGAAACGATCGAGGCCAAGAAACATTCAACATTTAGATTATTAAATAGAAAGATAGATGTGTCTCCAATATTAATCTTTTCATCTTCTTGTCTATTGTCTATTGATAGTTTTGTTAACGATGTTCAAAATTTATTTATTTATTCAAACAAATTCCCTGCGGTCTATTTGGATTATTAATGGGTTAATTTCGTCATAACATAGTAATTGATTATTTAAAATTTTCTTAACGGTAAATATTTTAATTTGAGACGAAACAATTTTTACTTGAGAAAAATAATTAAATAAGAAAATAAATGACTAAATTTATAAAAGAATATATGAAATTATTCCTCACGCAGCGCTACCGGGTTAGAGTTGCTGGGACTCTATTTGGCTAAATGATAAATATTAAAAACCACGCGGACGCCAGTTAATTTAATAAAATTAAGAAAATAAAATAATATGAGAAAGTAGGTACCGTAGGGAACCCCAACAAAAAAATATGAAAATAAAACAAGCGACTTTCAAGAATCTAATATTTATAAAATTCAATAATCAGACATAGATCCCTTGCTTCATTACTCATTTTTTCCAAGATTTTTTCACAACTCAGTACGTGTTCCTTTTTGTACCAATATTCCTCCATTTCTTTGCTTTTTTTAATCTCTTTATAATAGTTGCAGTAACTGGATTTATCAATATTTTAGCCCATTCTTCTTTTATTGATACTAATTCCTTGGCTCTCACTAACATGCTCACTTCAGATTCGTTGTCCCAAATCATGTTTATTATTCGCCCATCTCCCAATTCTTTTAGACCCCCTGCCATTTTTTTCCCCAATTCGTTGGATTCCCGTTTTTGATTCCTCTTACTTCTTCCCTTAAACATTTGTATGCCCATCTATCTTCGTCTAATTGTGACATTTTTATTATGAAATTTATACTCCTTCTAAAAGCCTCAATTTCAATTTCTCTTCTTCCTGTTTCCATTTTTCAAATGTGAGTATTCTTCGGTAAACTTATGCTTGCTTTGACGAATTTTGCCTGTACTCGTTCAATTTTTTCTTTCTTTTGCCATCCCCCATATTTCAACTTCATATAATGCCCCTGCTTTGACAGTCGAAACCATTAGAAATAATTTTTTATTTAATTTATTTATTGCTGCTCTTTTCGCTTCTTCCCATGCTTTGTTGATTAATTGTTGTACTTTCCCAGTAACTTTTCTGATTTGAGTATTGTAATTGTTTCGACTTGTAAACCAAAATTCTAAGTAGTTGAATTCTTTCACTTTTTCTAATTCAGTTTGCCCATATTTCCATATTGTTTTTTCTTTTTTCCTTCTTCCCCCGTTTTTAAAAGTCATGTTGCTTCCCAACTCATATTTTTTTTTGTAATAATAAAGTGAATTTGTCGAAATTATAATAGGTACTTAGGTTCAGAATACAACAGTACACTTTACAACACTAACATCAATTTTTTGATTATTTTTATATTTATCTTAAATAAATATTATAAAATTGTGAGCAAAGTATACAAAATATCAATTGTTAAGTTCCAATTCACAGAAGGGTACTTCTAAATTATATGACCATTGTAAAAGAAGGAACTACGTTCAGGGGATTAGGATAATTACTCTCAAACACTAATCATATACCCATAAACATTTTCGTTCAGATTTGTCTATGTACTGTAAAATTCATAAAGTGGTATCAACGCCACCTTTTTTTGTGGGTGTTCTTTGCATAAAACTTCACAATTTACAAATCAGAATAAAACTACTGGTCGACGACTGAGGATCATTATCGCGATCCTTTAGTCATATAAAATTTCATTCTCGATTATCTAGTATTGTAACTCGCGAATCACGGTATAATTTCAAATAACATACCGTAACTTTCAACACACTTTACCAATTGTACACACACAATTGAAGAAATATAATTGTATTACATATTTAGTTTGCTGTTATTGACTTATACAAACCTTTCTGATACTTAATTCTTAATATTAATTAATTAACCTTTGTTTTTTCAGTGTTAACTTCCATTTTATTTATTTTTGTCTAATTTTCTAGTGTCTTCAACATCTTAAGTAATTCTGCCTTTTCTTCCGCAATTAGAGCTAAATCGTCTGCGTATATTAATACAAATATTTTCACCCCAGTAGTTGCACCACTAATAGCAGTTCTGCCTTTGTTTTTCTTTCTTAACATGTCTTCAATATCATTAATGTAAATTTTGAATAATGCCGAGCTGAGCGGACAGTCTTGCCTTCTTGGTTTGAAACTCAAGAGACGTTCCTTCTTCTGTTATCACTTCGCATTTAGTATCTTTGTAAATTTTCTTTATCATTCTTAAAAACTTCCTATTTTGTCCATAATATATCCCGGTCTACTTTGTCAAAAGCCTTTTACGTTACAGAAACAATTAAAAGCATTTAAATGAATCAGATTATGATTCTAAAAATGGTCAATATCGATTTTTTCTAGAAAAAATTAGTATTGTAATTACAATTATAAAACAAAACTTTCGATATTAATAAATAAAAATTTCCAATAAATGAGAAATGCCGATGCATTTAAAATAAAGGTATCATCGAATATACGCGCACACTGTACAAGTTTTGGAGGTGATGAAAGAAAAAGGGAGCGTCAATATAATTTACGCAACAGAAAAGCAAAGAATACTGAAATACGAAACCGGCATGGCTTACGAATATGTAAGTCGGGTGGCAATGACCTTGCCGATGGGGTTTCTGACTTCATGAGAAGTTCTCATCCTTTTTTTTTACTACTATCCATCCACCTAGTATCACTAGCTATATGGACCTTGAACTCTGGTGTGTGAGTCGACAGTTGTACAATAATTGCACATGCACGCGACCAGAACCTCCACGTGTGAATACGAGAATACTTGTGTACAAGAAGAACCTACAACGACACTCACACAAGTCTTTTCAGAATATACAACAATCACCATTCAATTTCTCACACACATAGTTTTTTATATATACGTATATGTATTTACGAACAAGTGTATGTTTCCTTTCAGGTTTTGCCATGGTCGAGTGACCGGATGCTACTTTTCCTAAATTAGACCTCCAACAATGTCTCCTAAGAGATGATTATTGTCTTTGAATGAAGAAGTGAATCGAAGTCAAAAAGACTTTTTTATTGTTCTTTATTTTTTGTTTAAAAGAAACAAGAGGGACCCAAGTGGCAAACTAAAGGTTGTAATAGCGAATTTGTATTATGACAATTCCCGATAAGGGAAGAAATATAAAAAACAATAACCGAAACTCACTCTCTTATAATCCGGCTCGAAGGATCAAAAATTTAAATAATGAATGAGATGAAGGTATTTATAATGAAATCATAGTTTTATTATTTGGTTTCTCAATTTCGGGATTTTTTGTCTCGGACGAATTTTGACTCTGTTTATTTAAAAAAAAATTTTTATTTCGAAAAAAATTATTACTATTTCAATTGTTTTAAAACAGAAAGATGCTGCAATATTTATGCAAAACAATTTTATGAAATGCAGTAAAGTTAAATATATTCGATAAATATTGGTATTAAAATTTAATTTATTTAAATGAACAAAAATTTACGAAAGAAAAAATATGTATCTTTCAAATTTTTCCAGTTATCCCAAAATTTTAATTTCAATCACTCCTCGGGAAATAACTTTTTCACGCTCTTATCTGACATTAAGGTCTTAATTTTATAATTCCTTCTTCTAATAACAAAAATTACGTAATTATAAAAAAGAAATTTATTTTTAATATTTTCCTTTTATTTTATATAAAAATTTTGTTCTAATAATCAAATATTTAATTTTCATTTTTAGGTTAAGTGTACGAAACTGAATTCGTTATAATTACTTTCGAAGCATTTATATATGTATTTCTCCATGTCCAATTTTTAGAGAAGCTGCACTAGTTCTTCATTCAACAATTTTGAATAATATTAATATTTACTCACTATAATATACCTATCACTGAATTTAACAAAACTTTTCCACAGTTATTTGATTTGAGACAATTTAAACAATTTTAGAGGTGTGTATTTTTCGCCTTTGTAAAAATTTTTCATGCAAAAAAATGTATCTGATAAATTTAGTGTATTAAGAAGTTTTGTAACCCTAAAAACGAAAGTTTTTTTTTAATTTTAAAAGAAAAAGAGAATTGCGTTATTGAGGAAAATTAGATTTTTTTGTTTAAATTTATCTCAACTGACCCTAAAAAAATATAATAATAGTTATAGTCTGTGTATCTGAAGAATATCGTGAGATAAAAGAAAACATCTGCAAACAATGTGAGGAAATATGTTTTTATGTGCAAAACTTTGTCGAGTTTTGACAGAGTTTGCAAAGTTCCGGACTTTGTGTTATGAATAGATGCCAGATTTTTTTTTAACATTGTTATAGATATAATTGTATTTTTCTTAAGGGGTTATTGTTTAGTTGTCATAGGGAAAAACAAAGTGTTATTTGACAATGCTTTTTGTTTTTCATTTCAGTAAGTTTTTGTTTAATTTTTTTTTTTTAAATATTACTTTAAAATAATTTAAGTGATATAACATAATGATACAATTGAGTATAATCTGATTTTCAAAAAGTTCGTTACAAAATCTATTCGTCACCTTTAAAAATCTTTATTGGCTCTTAGTTATCGTCATTGGAATTATCTGAGTTTAGTGAAGTTTTCAATATTCATAAACTGAATAGTATCTGATAAAGCTTTAAAACTACAGCATAAAAAAACATTAAATTTCAAATGGTATTTCAAAATTTCAGTGTTAATGATAAAGAATCTATTGTCAAAATTGAAAATTAAAAATGGCGGATCCAATATGGCGGATGACTTTTTAAAACTGATCAAATTCACTTGAAATTCGTTTCTTGGGGGTTTTCAGGGTCACTGATTACAAATTCGATAACAGTTTTTAAAAATTTTAAGTGGCAAATCGAATGTGGTGAACGACTTTTTTTAAAACTGTGATCTTTGCTTGAAACTTATTACCCCGGGTTTTTCGGGGTCACTGATTACGAATCAAATGTCAATTTTTTAAATTCAAAATGGTGGATCTAATATGCCGATTAAAATGTTTAGAAATTGGCCCTATTTGCTTCAAATTTTTTTCGAAAAGCTAGTGATTCTAAAATATTTAAAAATACTTTTTAATTTTAATTAAAATAATTCAAAAATAATACTGTATTTTCATTTTTTTATTTTATCATAATAGAAAAACTAAAAGGTAAAATGTGTCTTTAAAAATTTTTTTTTTTTCAAAAAGTAATTATCATAAGCTCTTAAGCTCTCCTTATATTACAAAAATAATTTTTCCAGTTTATATATAGAGCAAAGAACACGCAATTATACGGCCCTGAAACATGTTGGTATAGAAACCCTTCGAGAAGACAGGTTTTTGAAGCCTTTAATTTAAGTGAAGGGGAATCGGCAGAAGACAATTTATACAGCGATTTTTCGTTTCTCAAAACTCAAGTCTAATTCCATTCCAATACTTTTGCGTATTTTTGCCTCCGATTTATAGTCACGATAATTTTAATTTTAAATTTTATATTCTATATTCAACAATAATATCTCTAAAATTTTGAAAGTTTAAATAAATAAATTTTTATTTACATATATAAATATTTTCAAAAATTATTAATGTATAATTTAAAATAAAAATATACATAATTTATAAATTTTTATCAAACTGATAATTTGTCTTTAATTCAATAATAAAAATTATTTGTCTATAAAGTTATAGACAAATAATATAAGAAAAACGTTTTTTTGAACAATTAACATTTATAAAAACCTCAAGGACTTCTTTCAAATTTGTTTAATTTTAATTATTCAATTTTGGGGATGCATGAATTAAAATCACTAACTAAAATTTTTATTTTAAAGAATTTTATTAGATATAATTATTTTTTAGATTCAAAAAATGATAATGCGCCTAAAAAAATTATAACTAATAAAATTCTTTCAAATGAAAATTTTAATTATAATGATTTTTATGGGTAATTCATGCGTTCCCAATTTTGGTAAAATCAATATAGTTGGTGAATTACTTTAATAAGAATGATTCAATTTTTTTTTATAAAAAGTAAAACTATGACAATTTGTTGTTCACAAATACATAAATTTTATTACATATATATAGGTGACTCATTTTATTCAAGGAGAAATTTTACTCACTTAAGCGCGTAACATTCGATAAAAAAGCATTTATTTTAAAGTTCAAGCAAATATAGGAAATTGAAACGTTTTATCAGAAGTTATATTTACTTAAAGTCTAGAATTTTAAAATAAATTGAAAATAATTTAATATTTTTATATATTAAAAAAAAAATAATAAATAAAAATATATTTAGAAATTAATTATATTATATAAATATGTATAAATATTTACAGACTAAAAAAATAATAGAAATTAAATGTAAATAAAACAACAACAAAAATTATATACGTAATTTGCTCATTATTGTACTTTCTCCAATTTTAGAAGTTCTTAAAAAAAATTGGTAAAAGTCATATTATATTATAAAGGTGTATCTAATCAATGGAGGGTACGATTTATTTAGTTGATGAGAATTTATCTTATGAGGCCATCTATTATTGATTAAAAATAGCTTTCACACCTTGAGAATAAGAATTTACTCGACCTGTAATCACAATAATTTCATGAAGAAACGATGTGATTTATATATATATATATATAGAAAAAAAAGGAGAGAAAAATTACTCCATAAAAATTCCAAATTCAAGGACAAAGAAGTAAACATATAGTCAGCTCTCGGACAGCTGACAAATGAAGACTAAAAAAAGGACAGAAAATTTGCTGCTTCATTGCAAAATATTTTAAGAGTTAAAAGAGTAATTCTCTCCTTAAACGGCAAATAAAAAAAACTGCTTTTAAATGGTATAAAACTTAAACGGTCTCTTTTGAAATCTTACGTAAAATCCTGATATATATTCTTTAAATGTCAATAAATTTCAAAATAAACTGTATTCTTTTTTTAAATTATGATGTATTAAAAATATAATTTTTATTTAAAAAAAATTAATATATGCGTTATTTGAATGAAAATTAAATCTGAAATAAATTCCGTATTTTGCTATTTAATTTAGTCATCAATAAAAGATTAGTTAAAATACTTTTTTTCGAATACACGATATATGAACAACGACATTCTAGACCAAAGAAGCTTCTTAATTTTCAATCAATATTGACTCTGACATCACTGTTAAAGAAGCCAATATATGGTCGGAATGACAAACTAGATAGACTGACAAAATGCAACTGATTTAATATTTTAAAAACAAAAAAAAAATATTTTTTACCTCGAATAAAGTATTTAACCGAATTTTTTTTTGTCGATTTCCTAATCATGAAAAATAATTTAGAACCATTTTTATTTATAAAATTCTACTAAATAAAAATTTGATAATTTTTTTAATTCGTCACCACAAAAATTCCAATAATGTGGGAAATATTCAAATTTGGTTGAAAAAGCAAATATTTTAATAAAGTTCTAATAAAGAAAAGCTCAAAGTGTGAGGATGAAGCTCATTTACATGTTTGCTATATATGTTCGCGCTTGACCTTTTTAAATTGACCTATTGCTCAAGTGTTCGTAAGAAATCTCAAGAAAAGGTGCAGCGCTGTCCAATTCATTTCTGTAAATTAAAACGGACACGCAGCATCCATATTACGGCTCTTTATAAGTGCACTTATAACTTGCAAGACATGCATGAAGGTATATTCTAACAGTGCAATAAAGAGCGTCTTCGTGTATAACAACACTTGTCTTGCGGAAAGTGAACAACAATAATAATAATAATGCTCATCACCAACTTCTAAAAAGCCTAGGAAGTCTTGTTGAAAGCGACAAAAACAACATATTTCAAATTTTTCTTCTAATATCATATTTTTATTACTCCTCATTTTATGCTGACAAGAATACTTCTACGTGAAATTTTTCATATTCATTCAGAATATTATGCTACTGAATCAACAATATTTTAGCTAAAAAGTATATGATTTTAAATATTTTTGAACCACACGGAACAAATTACAACAACAATTACCCAAAATTCTATTATAATAAGTTAAAAATTTCCAATAGCAACACGGGCACTGAAAAATTTATTTACCCTTATTTTCAAATAAATCAAAATCTTTTGTATAATATGCCTTTAGAAAATCTTACATATTTTACCGTTTCAACATCTTTTTCCAAATTTAATCCTAAAAAAGTGTTATTTTGCAATTTGGACGTGACCCTTAATAGGGAGAATTTGAGATAATAAATATGAGCTATGAATACTATGAATAAGAAGAAGAAGAAATAATATTTTTAATCTCGAAAAGTCAATCTTTACATGTCATTGATTGGACAAAAAACTTTAAGCCAATGAAATATAAATATTCGCACTTTTCAAGATTGAAACTATATCAATTCAATCTTTCTAGCGTAAAGTTGAAGTACGATTTTTAAAAATGCAAATATATATATATACCCCTAAATAGTATACTTTATAGACAATAAATTACGTCACTGATGAAGGCTCCCATTTGAGCAGAAACGTCTGACAATTTTCTAAAAAAAAAGAAAAAGGTTTCTTTATTTGATCCTCACGCCAATCTAACATTACAACTGAACTAATTATCAATCAATTATTTTAATGTGCACTGTAAAAAATTTTGGGAATAATCACCAAATTTTTCTGATGAATGTTCCGTAATTTTTGGTGAAAATACTATTCCCGAAATTTTGGGATCATGGATTTTTCTTTCAGTTTGTGTTAGACGACGATGGAACTGACTTTGAAGATTTTTATGAACTGATTGAATTTATTACTCATACTCCGGGAGTAATAATGATTTTGAAGGAAGATGAAGAATGGATATCGAAAATTTCTTCATCCCAAGTTAGAGAAACTGAAGTACTGCAATCTTCTATCATAAAGGGTAAAAAATTTTAATTATGAATTGTGCTTTTTAAATTAATCAAGTACCTTTTAAAGAATTGTTAATTTTTTATATAATAAATACCTGTTTATATAAGCGTGTGTTAACATTGTACATAGATAGACTTTTATATAAAGTATGAATAACTGAACATATTTTTTACAGATGAGGTAACAATAACAACTGAATCTCCAACACCATCTACTTCTAACAGTACCTTAACTAATGAAGAACCTTGTATGACACCACTAAAATGGCAAAATATTACGCCAAAGGGTTTTAATGATGTTCCGTACAATTCATGTTCTAAAGAGCTTCAATTAATAAGAAATGTTGCAGATTTTATGATAGAAGTAAAGACCACAACTTATTCAGATGCCTTGCGTATGGCTAAAGAAATAGTTACTCGTTTTCCTAAGGCTTTTGAAAAACGAACCTGGAAAAATGGCGAGGATTCTATTTATTCTGATGGAATAGACTCTCTTAGGACTAGGATTTATGAACGTTTGAAGTATGTGCAAATAATTATTAATCAAATTCTCTTTTAAGCGAGAATTTTTCTCTAAGAATTATTTTATTAATGTTCTAGATTTCTAAAAACAATCAGCAAAAAGCGCAAAAGGAGTGAGTCAATAGATAATGCAGAGGAGCTGGAAACCCGGAAAAAAACCAAAACATCAAGATATGGTCATAATCAAGACTGCTATGGCTGTGTCGCATTTGAGCCATCCCTTTCTGAAAATGAAACTGATGAGTCCCAATTAAGCAAGAAGAGTATTTTGTTAAATTACAAAAGATCAGATGAAGGTACATCAGAAGAAATAGAGTCATTAATGAGTGACACTTATCCATCACAAAGAATAATGATAAATAAAAGAGATGTACATAAAATAGTTCTGGAGGATATTTTAAGAAATCATTGGCCTTACCTAACGGAAAAAAAGTATTTTCTTTCGCATGCCAACACTTTGCTTGGACAAAATATTAAAGAAGTTTGGAATAAGAATATACAATTAAAGATTCCAGAAATAATAGTTTTTTTTAGAAGCTATTGTGGACAATTTAATAAAAAAAAATCTTTTCCTGAGGCTGTTGCACCAATGAAAGATATTTTAAGTGAGGCAAAGAAAGCAAATGAAAATCTCGCTAGTAATATGGCAAGTACATTAGTTTTTTTGCCTCTTATTGCAAAAAAGTTTAAAGAGGATGAGCTCTACATTTTAGTTGTAAGTATAAAAAAATCTGTTATGTTTGGGTCTTAAAAATATGTATAATAAAATTTATTAATATTTTTTTTTATTTTTAGGATTCTTTTGCTACTGAAGATAAAATCAAGGACAAAGCAGATTCAATACGCCCATCATTAATAATAAAAGGTAAATATGGTATAAAATTTACAATTTACTGTACTTTAAATCATTACTCATATTTTTATTAAACGTATAATTACTTTTGCAGGAAACTCACTTTATGATGAAAAATGCGAATGTCTCATTTTCATTGAGAGGGAGAAAGTTTTAGAGGCCGATACTGTATTAGAGGGAGTTTTACTATTAACACTTTGTTTCTATGTTTTCGGATATAATTACCCTGAAAGAAAAACATCATCTTTAGAGTTTGTCCAGAGGTAAGTTTTACTCTCTGCTCTCTTAATTTTGTCTTCATATCTATATAGAACAAATTTGAATAAATTTTATCTTAAATGTAGTACATCATACAAAAAAATAACTCTTAATATTAACATCTTTGTCAATCACTATTTGTATTTAATTTAGCCATAAATAAACATTTCAGAATGCTGTTAGATATTAATCCGACAGAAGGACACAAACGGTGGACAAAGAAGTCCACAAAAATATGCAGAGATGCAAAGACGGGAAAATTAATCGACAACATTGTTGAGTTCAATTCCAATTTTTATACTCCATAAATTTAATATATATGTATAAAACATAGAAATTCATTAAGTCTACATTTTGTTATTATCTTAATATTATATTATTATAATAGATATATTTTAAAAGTAATTTTAAAAAAATAAATTAAATTCTGTTGAAACACGTTTCTTCATTTTTGTTTATTCCAAAGAAATTTGTTTTTAAATTTTACCAATACAAAAATAACAAGAAAATAAAATAATTCACCAAAAACTCTTGGGGCATATTTAATAATATTTGTGAAATATGAACTAAATTTTGGGGGAAATTCATAAAAAATTCTTTGGGAATATTAACTGATAACTGTGAAAAATGCACAACATTATAGGGAAATTTCACCACAAAATCGTAGAGAATAATAACACAATAATTGTGGATTGTCATCAAAATTTTGGGGAAAATTCATAAAAAATTCTTAAGGGATATTAACTAATAAATGTGAAATATCCACAAAATTTTAGAGTTATTTCACCAAAAAATCTTATGGAATATTAACTAATATTTGTGAAATATTCACAAAAAGTTATGGGGAAAATTCACAAAAAATCTTGGGGAACATTCATTAATATTTGTGAAATAACCCCAAAATTTTGGAGAAAATTCACCAAAAAATCTTGGGGAACATTCATTAATATTTGTGAAATAACCCCAAAATTTTGGAGAAAATTCACCAAAAAATCTTGGGGAACATTCATTAATATTTGTGAAATAACCCCAAAATTTTGGAGAAAATTCACCAAAAAATCTTGGGGAACATTCATTAATATTTGTGAAATAACCCCAAAATTTTGGAGAAAATTCACCAAAAAATCTTGGTAAATATTCACCAATATTTTTAAAACATTCACAAAATTTTTGATAAAATTCACCAAAATAGCTTGGGAAACATTCACAAAAAAATTTTGAGGAATATCCACAAACTTTTGTGAAAAATTTTCCCCAGAAAGTTTTGGGGAATATTTACTAATATCTGAGAAATATCCACAAAAATTTGAGGAAAATTTTCCCCAAAAAATTTTGGGTAATACTCCACAAAAAGCCCTCCAAATTTGCGTCACCAGAATTTTTGGGAAATTTCACCAAAAAATTTTTTACAGTGTGTATGGCACCGCTTCTTGTGTACAAATTATCTCAAACAAATGTTGACGGATCGCCCTGAAATTTTGCATGCTAATTCTACTTACTAATACCAAAAATCGAACACAATGATTTCAAAAAATATCCACACAATTTTTTTTGGGACCATTTTTTCAAAAAGTCAAAAATACTTTTTTTGATAAAAAATCTTTTTATTATAAAAATTTCACTTTATTTATTTTAAAAACGTATTCTTTGCGTTAAACGAATTTTTTTAACCTATATTGAGTTCATATTTTACCTAAATTTATATAGATGAAATAATTATTTTTATTTTTTCAAAAAATCTAAATTTTTTGTTTTTGTTAAAATTTTTTTTTCTTTTTTCTTATAATAAAAATTTTCAAAAATTTTACGCAAAATTGCATTCCTTACATAGAAACTAATTGATTGATCTATATATTTTACCTAAATTTATAAAATTTGTAATGTAAAATAAATTAAATATTTTCTGCGAGGAAGCATAATGTTCGTGAAATAAACATCACATTTATGTAATATAAATGTCCACCCCTTCTTGTTTCTATACATAACGAAAATATTTTAAAGAACATACTAGAAACCTTTTTTGAAACTCATATTTTTGCTGTGTTTATTTATAATAAACTTAGAAAAAAATTTGTTTAAGACAACCAAAGTTTAGTTGAACCAAAATTCTTTTAGGTATTATTCACCACTTTTTTTTAGGGAAAATATATTCATTAGAATTTTAGGGAATTTTTGCTAAAATTTTTGATAATATTCACCAATTTGTTGAGGAAAAAAAAATTCATTAGAATCTTAGGGAATTTTCACCTAAATATGTAATAATCATTAATTTTTAGGGGAAAAGCATTTTCACAAAAAAAATTTTGATCACTCACCAGAAAAAGTTGGTGATTGTTCCCAAAATTTTAGGAAAATAATTTCCCTCAAAAATTACGGAACATTCACTAGAAAAAGTTAGTGATTATTTCCAAAAAATTTTTACAGTGTATGCAAGTTTTAATAATTTCAAGTAATGAACAATTAAAATTTATTACATTAAAACAAAACCATGTTACTAAAATTGCATCTAAAAAAGTGTGTGACGTCATTTGTGAATGTTTCCTTTAAAATAATATTTTCTTTGTATTTGATAAAACATCGTACAGCATCACTTATTGCAGTATAAGCAATAGAATAATCAACTTAGATAAATACCAAGAATGCGAAAAGTTATGCAAACATTCATAAAGCTGAAGTTATAAAAATATCTATGCATTAAAGAGTCTATATATATATATATACTCAACAAATTTCTATGGCGAATTATGGTTTTTATCTAATTTTCAAAATATGGAAATAGTCACATAAAATTTAAATGTAGATAGATGAAAAAAGACGAAACTTTCACAAAAGAATGTACATATTACATATATGAGCGATTCCACGTTATATTTCAATCAATCTTTTAAATTTGTTTAATTTTCTCAAATGTAAACATATTTTTAATAGCATTTAAAAAGTAAAAGTATTGAAATTAGCAATTTTTAGGGACTCCCAAATATTTCACATACTGAATTTTTTTTTGGAATTTCTACGGTTTTGAAATTAATAAACTCGAACTTCTATGTTACCGAATTTTATAAAATAGAATTTATATTAAATTAAATTTTCATATTTAAGAATTTTCATTTAATTGAATTCATATTTGAATTCATTTGACCGATATTGCAAACGTCCGAACAAATATTCGATAGAAAATTTTTGGCGCGAATTTTAAAATTAATCGCAATCAGAATAATCAAGGAAATTTTGATTTATCAATAATTTTAAATTTCCCGCGACAAATTTTTTGTTGGATATTTATTTAACCATTTGCAATTTAGGTCAAATAAAAATTCTGAGTTTTCAAAATTGCTATCAAATGACAGACAGTTTGGTACAAATAAAAATTCTGGCAAATGAAAATTCGGAGAAATATTATATTGATGAATTTAGGTCAAATAGTTTTTAATTTACACCAAAATTGAATGATTTGGATAAGAAAAAAAGTGGTAAAACTTTGCATGGTGAAAATTGCGTTTCAAATCACAGAGTTCGGAGAAAGGAATTGTTTCCGAGAGTGTGATAAGAGGTTTGGAAAATAGGATGCTCTGATATCAGTGAGTTTATTGAAACAGGACGTGACAGTGGTGGTCATCATTTCATCCGGATGCAAATGTTACTCGACTTCCACACCGATCAGCCAATCGGACATTTAAATTTCTTTAACTTCCTAATTATGTTTTACTTCCCGGCTGTAAAACAGAAACTGACGTCAATGATTTAGAAACTAGGTCGATAATCCACTAAAAGTAATATTTTCTATACAAAAAAAAAGTACAACTCCTTTTTTATACTCCTATATTAGCCTATAATAAAAAACAATAATTAAAAAAAAAATATTAATTATAAACGAATGAAACTAACTGGAAAGATATATAAAAGTTAATAAGTGTCGTTGTAAACCTACAATCAGAAACATTTTACTATATAATGATTCAATTTAACAGAATAAAATTTTCCAATTGTCTTTTCTTGCAAAGTAACGGAATATGATTATACATATTTTTTTAAAAATCATAGATTCTATCAGAAAGAGATAAACATTTTTCTATTTAGGAAGAAAAAAAAATTATTGTAATTATATAATTATATATACAGAAAACTATAATTTATAAGAGACATTCTAGAGCCACTGATATTATCTTCTAACTTTAATCTTATCAAGTAATTTAAGCTTATAAATTATCTTATATGTATATGTTACGTATTACATAGTACAAATAAATAGGTATTTTTTTTACGAACTCTATATTTTTATGAAAATTATTTTTTTTTTCATTCTTTCAAGGTGACGGAAATTAATATAATATGTCATTATTATCTTTGACCGAAGTAATTTTGATATATTCAAGTTTTACATGCAAGAAGTGAGCAACGGCATTTTGTTTTTCCAAAAAAAAAAAATAATTGACACTTCCATGTAATTACAAATAAACAATTGTGCAAGGATAGAACAAAAAAAAATTCTGCGAACAATTTTCAAAATTAATAATAAATTATTCAAAATCTTCTATTATATTAAGTTAACAAATTTTCAAAAGCGACACCGACACCATGACCTCGACACCGTCCTTGGAAAATCTATTTTCACTTATTTTCAAATAAATCAAAATACTTTGCCACATGCTTTTAGAAAATTTTACATACTTTTTTTTGTAACATGTTGTTTTAATTTTAACCCGAAAAAGGGTTATTTTGCAATTTTATGCAATTTTTTTACTAATTTTTGGATATATACCTTTAAAATTACTCTATTTTTAAAAAGTTACTTATAAACAATTTTTTTCAATTTTTTAACCCAAAAAGGGTTATTTTGCAATTTTATGCAATTTTTTACGAATTTTTGGATATATACCTTTAAAATCTCTTTATAAAGGTTTACTCTGGATAATAAAAATAAAAACCGATATTTTAAAAGGTTTTTCGATTTATTATGAACATTTCTCTAAAAAATTTGCAAAATCTCTATGTGTTTATGGGGCAATTTACAGCAATATAATATAATATAATATAAGATAAAAAAATATATTATAATATAATATAATTAATATTGTTGTTATAATTTTAATAAAATAAAACATTTAATATTTAACAATTGTCATTTCATCCTTCAATGATACTGATCAAAATTAAGATAAATTTTATACAATATTAATAATATATTAATTTTAAACATAAATTATATATATATAATAATACATAAACTACAATAAGTAAACAACAATAAGTACAACTATAACCGACCGAGCGTTAGCGAGCGAGGAATACATCGCTAGTTAAATATAAATTCAAAAAGATATATTCAGATAATGTAAACTATATTAATAAAAAAAAACTCTACACTGAAAAAAATAGTATTGAATCAAGAAAACCTATGCACTTGACCATATCAATATTTTCTTGATCCAAGAAAATTTACTTTAAACTAATAAAAATTTCTTGGATCAAGAAAATAAATTGGTATTGAATATGGTCAAGTATATAGGTTTTCTTGATTCAATACTATTTTTTTCAAAATTGTAATTTACTTTAATATTTTCTTTTTGTTAAAACCGTTTTTTAAATTGAATTTAATTTTACCATAGATTGTATATTAAATATTGAATTGAGAGAAATATAAATAGAGATCCAATTATGTATATATGTAATGCTACATTGATCTGTCTATTAATTTCCACTTTCTGTATAGTTATAAGGATATCAAGAATATAATATTGAATTTCATCAGAGATTTCAACAGCGAGAGTGATTTCTATTTCTAATGTTTGCTTTTATCATTTATATCTTATATTACTTTTTTTATGCGGCTACAAAAGTACAGTTATTACACTCAATAAATAGTTCATCTCAACTATTATTAAAAAAAAATTTTTTTAATAAAAATAGAATCCCAATGGAAAATAAACCATTGGTTTAATAATGGCCCAACAATGGGAGACAGTTCTAATATATTTGTGCATCTAAAAAATTAAAATTAAATTTTGCTCAAAACCGAACTAATTGATTTTCGATTTTTTTTTTAATTTAGTATTTAACAGAAATTGTATTAAAAATAATTTAAAATTTTTCTTTATTTTTCATAAAGATTTAAAAAAAATGTTCCAGTAAAAAAAAATTGAATGAAAATCATCGTAGGTGAAATGCCCTACATAGTGTTCAAATTAAAGTGACTAGTAAAATAAAAAACAGATACAAATTTCTTTATGTTTGATGAATGTTAAACATCAATGTGATTTGAATATTAATGAGTAATTAATATTCTGAGCAGGTCTATCAAATGCTTCTCACTATGTCCCGTATGCAAATCGTTCTAAAATATAATTGAAAGTAAAGTGAGAACAAAAGAAAGCGAAGAGTCATGAACAATTTTTACGCTCCTATAGATCTATTTAAGATTCATTCAGTCATCTATAGAAAAAAGTCACACACACACATATGCATTGCTATATACTATTAACTTTTTTACTACAATAACCTCTTACTATTAAAAATACCTCAATAAATACCTCTATAAACACAACAAAAACTCAATATTATTTCCAATATTTTTTTTTATAACAAAAATAATGAATAACAGTAATGCTTGTAGTACATAATGAATGATGATTATGGCTGTAATTTATAAAATCGGTTTAATGAAAATTCTGTCAAAAAATAATTTTAATGAATGGAAATTCGATTAAAAGAAAGTTCTATCTAATGAATAAATAATAAGTAATAATAAATACAAATTTTTACAAATGAAACTTCGAACAAATACAAATTCTGACAAATGAAAAGTCGAACAAAGAGAAAATATATAATATAGAAAATCAGTTTAATAGAAATCCTATTAAAAAATAATTCGAACAAATAAACATTCAGAGAAAAGAAAATTCTATTTAAATAACAAAAAATTATTTTTGTTAGAAAAATTCTAGAAAATTAATTTTAAGCATTATTCATGTATCTCGCTTTTAACCCACTCTCCCCTATTTTAAAGTTTTTCATTACTACAGTTTAAATAATAAATAATTCGTAGCAAAAAACAAATTTTGAAACAAAAATGGAATAGTAATTTGTAAATTATTTATAGTTTAATGTTGGTGAATTTCGGATAAAGAAATAATAAAAATTTCTTACATTTTCAAACGTTTCGACTTCAATATTACTGTAATATATTTTACTGATTAACAATAGTGTTTTTTAATTTTCTTTAATAAATTAAAAGTTTTATTTTTTAATAAATTGAATTTAAAAATTTACACGGAACGTTCATGTTCAGTTGAGTACTATTTTTGTGCTCTTTGGCCTTTTATTAATATTTAATTTAACAACGTTATGTATGCATAAAAACATATGCACATTTTTAAACACACTCAAAGATATACACACATGAAGTCATTTATTTAGTTAATTTATGTAAGTTTGTTAGAATTTGAAAAATAGGAAATCGTTTTCACTAAAAAACACAAAGTTGTTAGGATAAAGATAGACAACAAATTTTTTATTTTTATAATGTCAAACCATTAGTTGAATTTCACATTCCTTTAAATTTGATTGATTCTTTGGTAAATGTAATGAGTAATTTTACTTTGTACAAATAGTTAAAGTTTATTAAAACTACAGAAAACGTGTATAATAAAGTGTAATGGTTTTCAGAGAAATTTTATGTTTTTTTTACGAAAAAGTTATTTAATATCTTTTTTATTAAGTTATTAGCAAAAAAATTTTTAATTTTGTAATAAATAATAATTATTTATCTCAAAATATTTTTTTTTTGAATTTACATTTTTTTAAAATTGTATTTAAAAATATACAGATTGATTTTTATGTTCCAGGCACACTAAAAATTTTTTTTAATTACACTGTTTTGTTTAAGGCCATGTGAGACAAAGACACTTTTTGGTAGTTCCAAGTATTCTCGGAAATAAGAAGAAATTTCGGGTTGAAATTTTGAGGAATGATAAAAAAGGGTTGAAGGAATTGGGCTGTTCTACTTATTTACTATAATTGAACGCGAAATAATTTAAAAGAAGTAATTAATAGTGGAGTTAATTGGTTTTTTTTATTTCTTTGAGCGGCCACTAACTCGAATTGGCGCTAGTTCCTGGACCACTGATACATTCACGCGACGTCTGTGTGTACCCCCGCCATGTTGACTTCAACTTTCGTTCAAAAATGGCAATTTTCAAACTTTTATTTTTAATACTTAAACGCAAAATTTTGCTTCAAACCGAGAACAGCGCCATTCTGAATGCTATTCTCTATCATATTTTACAAATTTCAACCAAAAATTCTTTACCATTTCAGAGAATACTTGGTAATACGATACCATGTTTTTTGCATGGGGGTCACGTGGGTATTTCCCACATGGCCTTAAAAAACGAAAAAAATAAGATTAAAAAAATTTTTAGGGGATACGAAACATAAAAATCATTCTGTATATAAAACGTTTTGGATATATTTTTAATATTTTTTACTAATTTTTTAAGGATTTTGTGCTATTTATTGTTGTTTTGCAAATTTTTGGTTAGGAACACAGTTTTCTTGTGTGTATCAAATTGATACAAGAATTAAGATCAACTCATACAACGTTTTGAATCAATATAAGGTATCAAATAGATCCAAATATTTGGATCATTTTCAAGAAATGATCCAGAATATGGGATCATTTTTTGATACCTGAATTGGTATCAAAGTATAACTGTCATGGCTGGCATGCTCTTATTGACAAATTTATTAATTAATTTATTCACTGCACTGAATATTAAGATATTAAAAATACTTTTATTATGAATTTTAAGAAAGAGAGAAGCGAAAACTTATAAATTGCGAGCAATTAAATAAGAAAAAATTTATTTCGAAATAAAATGAAATACACTAACCTTTATTTATGTTTATCACATAAGATTTAAGTTAAGTTCACAATCACAACACTTGAAAATTTTTAATTATTTTTATGATTCAAATAATTATCAATAATTTATTTATTATAAGTGAACAAAATTTAAGCAATGCACGCTTGATAAATATTTCTAATGCGTTGTCAATTAATGCAATTAATAATTTCCTATTAAAGTACAACTTCAACCGAACGTTGATATATTATCATTATAACCTTATAAAAAGTGTAAAATTCTAACTTCTAAAAGAGGGTTCTCCAATATTATTAAAATAACATTTTGAATTGTTTTTTATTAAAAAATTATTTTAGAAAAATGTGGTAAAGAACGTGGTGGAAACATGTTAAAAAATTGAAGTTATGTGATCATCGATAAATAATCGATGGTTACATAACCTCAATTTTTTAACAGTTAATCAATAAATGATAGTAACATTAATGAAATGGAAGTATAAAAACAAATTAAATTTGTTAATTTATAATTATCATTGCCGTCTATTTTTTAGAAAATAAATTACCCCAAATAAGGGTGGAAACGTCTAATGAAAAATATCTACTTTGAAAATTACGAATCTGAAGTACGCAAAACGTTTATGATAAACGATTTTTAAAGAAATAATTTTTTAAAATGAAAAATTCTATAATTTTTGCCTAAAAAATATTTCTCGTAGTTTTTATTAATCAATGAATTATAAAAAAAAAAATTTTTTAGACAAAAAACTATAGAATTTTTCATTTTAAAAAATTATTTCTTTAAAAATCGTTTATCATAAACGTTGCGTACTTCAGCTTCGTTCAAAATTAACATTTTCTGAAACAAAAAATATTTAAAATGAAAAAAATTACTTACAATTGGTTTATCACGTTTCCTCTTGATGTTCATGCCATCGTTTTCGATATAGTCAGGAACATCCTTTCTGCCGCTAAAATTGAAGACCATTGTATTATTCTGCTGATTCCAAGGCTTCGTATCCCAAAGACCACTTCTAGAATCGGATTTTTTAGCTTGTATTTCCTCCGCACTTTTTAAACTCACTACAACTTTTGTTGGTTGTTGTTCTATGCTTTTAACTCGATTTATTAAATTTTTTTCAAGTTCTCTGTTACTTAAATTTTGTTGTGGCAATTGTGTTTTTGTCGACACCAATGGTCGAATGATGCCAATTTGTTTTTGAGGCGGCTCTGATTTATGATGATATCTTATCGTTTTTGATTCATTAGATTGTGGATATGTCATTGTCACTGTTTTAATTAATCCTAAACTCGAAATTGCTCCCATTGGTCGATTATCATTAGATGAGTCCTCTTTTTGTTTATCAATTTTTTCTGGATTAAGTCTTTCTTGAATACGAGTTTTATTATTTAAATCTTCACTTGTTGTTAATAAAAGTTTTTCATTATTAGTTTGTCCATTTTGAGCTAAAATTGGTAAATGACTTTTATCAATGATGCTTTTGTTATTGAAATTAAACTGCAGGGTTGTTCCAGCTTTACTTATGTTATCCAAAGCTGACCTTGAAACGGTCCTTGGTCCATCGGTTTCTGTAACGTTTTCTTGCGTTTCTTCAATTTCTTTAATTTCTTTATCATCTAATTCTAGATCTTCGGATTTTTCGTTTTCCCTCAATTCAATATTCTCTATTTCTTCTTTATTGTCACTTTCTTCTGTTACTGTACTAATCTCAGGTTTCATATTCTCCTTTTCCATTTGATGCCAAAACTTTGGAGGTTCGGAGATTTGTTTAACGAATTCACGACTAGGACTGGATTTGTGAACGGGACTGGAATTTTGTCGAATGATATCTTTTTTCGGTGATGCTGGTGATTGTATTCTTGGTGATAAAACTGGTGTCACTGGTGGTGATTTAACATTGATTTCGAGGGAGGATTTTAATTTATTGAGCGAAGGTTCGGGACTTGGGACAGGGGAGAATTTGACTCTTTCTTTGAAAGATGGTTCAGGTGATGGCGAGGGAGATAGGGATTTTTCGATTTGTTGGAATTTGGAGACAACTGATGATACGGACTGAACGATTGGTTCGGTGATAACGCCGGGAGTTTCTTGTTTTTCCACTTCTATGGTTGGTTTTTGGGTGAGGATAATTTTCTTTGGCGAACAGGAAGTACGATTGTTGCCATTTAAAAATGGTTTCGGTTGTAACGGTGGTTTTGGAATGATTTTCTTCTGATTTTTAGCTTTGAATGTATCATTAATTGTCTTGAATGTTGCAACTTTAGCAGCGACCTCGCCCTTTGGCTTGAGCTTCTTTGTCGAACCCTCAAAGATTCTCATTGTGGTCTTGACTAGATCCGGCGGTGGTCTCTCAGTTTCCGCCAGGACAGGTTTGATCCTCATGGGTTTGTTGACAGCCTTTGGTCTCTCCTCAACGAGGCGACTCTCAATCTTAGCGGACGATCTGTCGATGAGAATAATATGATCGTTGACGGGTTCTTGTTTGAAGATGGACCCAAACCGGTTTGAGTTTGGTTCCTCTGGTGCTGAATTGTACCTCATAAGAGTCTCCACGCTTCTCGCTCTTTTCATCGAGTCATTACCCCTCGAAGAGTTTCTGTAACGTTCTGCCTTTGTTACAACATTTTTCTTGGCAAATCTTTTGACCATTTTCTCCGGTGGATCATCATCGCAATCGAGAAGATCCTCAAGACTCGCTGCTCGTCTAAAACGTTGCACCGAGCCTCGATTCTTGTTTGTCTCTCTTAGCGTTAAATTAAGGTACTTGCTTTTTAATTTATTGACAATTCCCGGTCCATACTGCAATTCCTCGGAACTGTCACTTTCGCAATCGTCCGGCACTTTTTTTATTTCACGTGTCATATCAAGTCGTTGTTGTGTTTTTTTCGAGAGTTCTAATAATTGAAATATATCACTTTTTCTCTCGACTTTCTTTGCCCGATATAAATCACAATTTTCCGATTTACTTTTCTCGATATTAATTTCCGATGTTCGTCCACCGGGAACTGAATTAAGAACGTCCTCCGAGTCGGAACAACGCGAGACATCCGCTTCGAGACGCATGTTGCCCGCGACTGGTGAACTTTCGAAAGAAGCGGTCACGACTACAGCGCCACAGGTTGATTCCCTCGAGGAAGATGCGGAACCACCACCACTACAATTGCTGGTGATCACCTTACCTTGTCTGCGTCGAATGAGATCCCGCTTCCATTGCGGCACATTGTTGTCACTGTCAGAGCTGCTGGAAGCCATGTTCCAATGGCAAACGCTGTCACAATACAAGCAACAAATTTTAGTTTTCCTTAAGATCTTCTTTTTATAGTTTTTTTTAAATTAAATTCCATCTCAAAACTTTTTCTGTCTCCAAAATGAATTCCAAATTTTTTAATTGGAAAAAATAATAATTTTATCATTACTTCATTTTAGAGATTACAGAAAAATTTTGTCACGAATAAAATGGAAAATTTTTAAAAAATTGTTTACTAATAAAAAATAATTAAATACAATACTGGAAGATCGTATTTAAAACAAGATCCAATGGAATGGAATTCAAAATTTATATTCTTATGATTCAAATTACAATAAAATATCAATAAACAAATACAATAAATAATAAAGATAAAATAAACTACAATAATAAATTAAATTTCACATAATCTTACCAAATTAAAACAGATGTCAAATCATAAAGTTAAGTCATTTGCGGTTTCAAATTAAATAAAAACAAATGAAATAAAAAAAACATAACGTTGAAGAAACATAGAGTTTGGAGTTTGAATCCAAAATTAAACAAATTAAATTTATTATAAAATTAAGTAAATAAAATAAATTATTAATTTTAAATAATCGAAAAGGAAAATTAAAACTATAAATACGTACCAATTAAATGAATCCATTTTTTAAAAGACATAATAAATAAATAATTAAATAAATATTAAATAAATAATCATAATAATTAATAAAACATAATAAATTCAATAAAAAAGTAAAATAAAATATGTGTGCTGTTTGCAACGTCAATTTTGAAACTGAACTCCAAACACTATCGTCTCCTTACACTGTAAAAAATTTCGGAATTTTTTCCAATAAAATAGTAGGATATTTTTCCGAAAGTAGGTGGAAATATTTCCACCCCTTGGAGTTCCGTGCTGTCCGTATTTTTTCGGAAAAATTTCCGAAAAATTTTTTGCAGTGTACAATTTTGCAAATTGAGCAGAACAAAAAGAAAAACAATTATACGAGAAATAGAGAATAACAAGAATGAGCAATTTATCATTTTAAATTGTTAGAAATAAAATTCAAAATTATTTCATATGACTTATCAAAATTTTCTAAATCTGTCATTTTATATCCTTCTTTTTTAATAAAATACATTTTAGCAAATAATCGCTTATTTAAATTTGTCTCAACATGCAAAATCTCAAATTCATCCCATTTTATAAAATGTGAAACGGAGTCATTTTTATTTTTATTATTATTATTATCCAAAATAAAAATATTTTTATTTAACACATTAACTCTAATAACCAGAGAATTTATTTATTTGTAAAAATAAAGTTGTAATAAGTATAAATTTATCAGAAAAATTTTATATTAAATAAATCAAATATCTGAGATTCAACTAATTCTAAAAATTTTAATTGTAAATCTTCAAAAATTTAATTGTTTCTATAAATTTTTCTAAATATTTTGTACGTATTTGTGTGTTAATAATTTGTATTTGTTATAGATATCAAATATTTAGTAAGATAATCTTATAAATTTGAATAAATTTTGTCATTTCTTCACCACATTAAACTGCTTTATCATATTTTTTAATAGATATTAAAATATTAAGTATAAATTTTAATAATGCCTTAATAAGAATAATTGCATCAGAATTTGACAAGAATTTTTATTTACATATTTTAAAATTAAATCAAGTCAAATTTTCAAGAATTTAAAAAATTTTAGATTTATAAAAAAATATGAAAGTTACTTTTTTAACACTAGAACTACCAGTAAATTTTGTCTCGCGGCACACGATTTTTCTTGTGTATCTTTCGTTAATGACTAGCTAGAGGGCTGAAATTTTATGACTTTTATTTTTTTGTTGAGTTTAATCAGTATACAAAATTTCAGAGTTTTATCATTATTAGAACCTGAGATCTGAACCAGCATACCTAGAACTACGACGGGACATTTTGTACCATGGTTATTAATATTGTTAAAAACAATTATTATTACAAAATTGAAAAATAATCATTTTGTACAGTTAATAGAAAGTATAAACAATAATAATAAATGTGGAATTATGCTTATTCTGTATTGTAATTGCCTATATAAATATTTACAAGACAAGCGTTTTTGATACAAATCTACATGGGAAGCAGCGTAGTGGGCGGTTAGTGTACGAAACTGTTGGTGAAACGCGCTTATCAAAAAAATCGTTTTTGGCAAAATCTCACTTAAAGTTTTCGGTTTTTCATATACATAATTTATTGCCGAAGGTTTATTTACTATTTTAAGGCCTACCGGAAGTTTGTAATTTTTCGGGATAATTTTCTATATTGCTCTAAAGTTAACATAAAAAACGCTGTTTTTTATCACTCAAACCTATTTTTTAGTAAAAAATTAAAATGCTGGAGTATTTCCGACTTCGGATTCGTAATCTACACAAAAAAACCTATGAAAATCATGTATCACTTTATTTCACTAACTTGTAAATGTTAATAAAAAAAACATAAATGAATAATGGGACAAAATGTACCATTGGTAGTTCTATATTATGTATGCAGGATTTTCGGTAGTTCTAGTGTTAAAAAATTTTAAAAAAATTTATAAATTCTAAATTTTGTCAAAGTTTTAATGTGCGATGGAAAAAAAAATGTACAGTTACTTTTTAAAAATAAGACAATTTATGGGAACAATTGAATTTTAGAAAAATTCGATAAAAATTAATTGACTTGAAATGATTGATTAATATTACTGAAAATTATTAATTTATTGAGGAATTTTAGATATAAATTTAAAAATAATTGAGTTTTGAAAGAGTTATATATTTAAGATTTTTATAAATAATTGAATTTCAAAAGATTTTAAATTAAAATTTTTGTAAAATTAAATTGCTAACAATTTGCTTGGACAAATTACAAACAATAATTGAAGATTAAGAAAAATTTAATTAAATATTTTTAAAAATATTTTAAATAATTGAATTTTAGAACTTGGTTAAAATTATTAAAAGTAATTAACTTGCCGAAGAATTTTTGATATTTTAAAAATAATTGAATTTAAAAACTACAGTTCAAATTTTTACAATTATAATCAAATTTCAGAAGATTTTGAATTGAAAATTTTATAAATTAGAATTGCTTAACTTTTTTACAAGAATTTTAAGCAAATAGTTAAATTTTAGAGAATTTTTAATTGAAAAATGTTTTAATTAATTTTACTTTCGAAAAATTAATGTTAAATAACAAAACGATAACATTCGGAAAAATGGAATTTTAAATAAAATTTTCTCCAACGTTTCGAAATCACACTGATTTCCTCTTCAGGGAATCAAGTACACACAGAAAAAAAATTATCCTTGTTTTAAAAAAAATTTTTCTTTGACCCTATATCAATCGTGTTAGACGAAGCAAAAATTAGCAATCAGTCATTCTCGCAATCGTCATTAAAAAAATTTCATCATAAAATAAAATGAACATGGATGATTTCACGTGAGATTTCAGTCGACCCTTTAAAATCGGCCAAATATATTTTTTTCTTGTTCTTGTTCAAAATTGTAAATTTAGACCAATTTTCAATGGCTGATAAATCAAAAAAAAAAATGAATTTTTTCAATTTTTGGCAATAGAAGAAAAATTTCAGTTTTTCCTTTTACTTCTCAATAATGTTGACGAAAAAATATTTTTTTTATTTTAAACAAATTAATTTTTTTTTAAATTTGGATTGTTTTTTAAAATACCTGTAAAAATACAAAAAACAGCCAAACGTGGAAAAAATTGTCTGTTATTAAAATAAGTCGAAAAAAGTTGCATTTTAAAAAAAGTCGTACAATCCGAGGCTTACATGAATGAAGAATATTTAACAATGAACTTATCTTCACAGTATCAGCAACTAATGATTTACGAGAGTAATAAGAAAAAACATTTACTCTTTTCAAAAAAGATAAACTGGAGTAGGTCAGTGTGGTTAGTTACGGATCATACAAGGAAAAAATATAGCAAAAAAAAAAAGAAAAAACTGGATTCACGAATATAAAATTTTGATTTTCATTCCATTAAAGCCTTTTTATATATCCGAAATTTTTTAATTTATTCAGTTACGCACCTGTATTTGTTTGCAGTGTAATTTTAATTTTGCTTTAAAAAAAATATGAATTTCTCCTCTTTAACAATTTTTAATTGTACCAATACACATATTTCACATATCACTTTGAGGTTATAAACATTTGTTTATATACCATTATTTGTATACGAAATACATTTCACATTAATTAGAAGGAAACAAGAACATAAAACATGCACAACTGAAATATAATTTTATTAAAACTCAAAAATAGGAATCTACAATTTTCACAATATTCACAACAGCACTTTATGGATCTTGAAATAAATGAAAATCTTCCAAGAAAAAAAAAACGGTTGGAATTACATAAAATCAACCCTTTCTTACCGGGTTAACACTCGTCGTGCCGGTCCTGAATCTTCTGCTTCACAATAACACTGTCGCCGCCACGTTTTTGTTTTGCTTTTTTTCTCTTATATCAAAGAAAATTCCAATGATTTTTGAGGGGGGGAAAAAAGAGAATTAATGTTGCATTTCCTTGAGAAGGGATAGGTTTAGAAGCACCCTGGTGCCGCTATTCGACTGGTGCGCTTTCATTTTCATGCTCCGACTCAACTGTTTCACATTGAACTATATGTATATGTAAAATTAAAACGAAAGAAACTAAACTGACCGTGCACTACCGGCAACTGGAAAAGTTATTCGAGTTGACTGGCCTCTGATACTCTATGAGGGGGAGCAAATTATTTCATGTATTTTAGACAATAAGGAAGAAACGAAGCGTGTAGAAAAGATAGTACACACCTGCCCGAATATATATATATATATATATAAAAAATGTAAGAAGAGAGAAAGAAAAAGAGAGGAATACACTCCCACAATAATACAATTTTGTGTATGATTGTAATCGCGAAACGCATGAAATCCTGGAAACCGAACCCTCAAGAAATGTGGGTAATGTTTCGTATCTTTTGTCCGATACAAAATTCTCAAATGACTCGATACGCTCCTGACGAAGCCCCTCCTTTGTCCGAGCAACCGAGTTTTAAACACACACACATACACATAAGTATGCGACACGTCGGGAAATCGAAACTTGGCGGGTTGCTTCTTGCCTTTTGGTATGAGGAGTCTGATTCGCGGAATATCTCGACTCGACTCTCAAAAAGGGAAGAAAATCAATCGTTATATGGTGGCACGACTCTCCCCAAGTCACCCATGAAAACGCATCTCCGGCCAAGTCAGGACTGTCAAGCAAGGGTCGTTTAAAAAACCGGCGCTTTTTATTGATTTATTTATCATATATATATATATATATATGTATAAATATAATATGTATAATTTTTCAATACGATTTGACAATTGAGTTGAATATTTTTAAATTTTAATTAGATATTTTTATAATTATTTTTTATGTTTTTTATTCAACATTGTTATATGCACCCAAGAAGAGAAAAGTCTTGTTTTGATATTTAGTGGAATCAAAAATTGTGAAGAATATTTTATTATAAAATTAAAATATTTAATAATAAATTTTTTATATTTATAATTTATGTAATTACAAGAAATTATAAAGAACGAAAATACACAAAATTTTAACATATTTTCACTTACAAAAAAATATATATATAATTTTTTTTTATAAATTAATAAGCACATGCAATAAATATGAAATTATTAATTTTTTAGTATTTTCAAATGAATCACAATATTTGATTGGAAGATCAAAATAAGCAAGTCTGCGCATGTGCGATCTGTACCACTATTAAGCTACTTCTACAACAAAAATATCTTCTATCCTTTTCTTCCTCATGTGGATTTACGTTTTCAATGTAGTGCATGAAGTGAAGTATGTGTATTTTAGAAATTAAAATATATAAACTTCCAAAAACAAGGTAAGACGAATGATGTTAATAATATGTGACGCTCCACGAGAGAAGGGACCTAACGTGCTTTTGACTTAAGGTTCGCTTTTACCGTGCAATGACACAGTGAATGAACCTTAAGTCAGAAGCACGTTAGGTCCCTTCTCTCGTGGAGCGTCACATATTATAAAAAATTGCTTGTTCCTTTATTAGTTTATTTGGATATTTTCATTTTTTGCAGATTTGGTACAAGATTCGGTGATTACTATTTGGTCGTGATTTTGTGTATTGTAAAGTTGACCTCAAAAAAAAGTTTGAGTTGCTGTCTTAAGACCTGAGCAGAATAGAGACGTAACCGAAATCGTAACCGCAACCGGAAAATTTTACGAGAGCAGAATGCGGTAGTTCACGAAAAGTGGGGAAAATGGAAACCAACCTAAGGCCTAAGAAGAATATATTCTTGAACTGGAAGTCAATCGTAAACAGAAACGTAAGAATGAGTAAGAGAAGGATAGCAAATATGTTTATTCTTCTCTCACTCATTCTTAAATTTCCATTGTCCCCAGCTGCCAAAATCCTCACTCGACATTTGTTATAATTCTCGTCATCTACTGCACCCTGTTCTAGTAAAAATTTAGTAATTTTATAGTAACTTTTAATTTTAACAATAAAGTCACTAAATTTTCACTAGAGCAGGGTGCGGTAGATTACGAGAATTATGACAAATGGCGAGTGGGGATAATGGAAACTAACTTGGAGGTATAAAAGCACTTTAAAGGCTAAAGGCCTAAGCAGAATAGAAACATAACCGGAATCGTAATCGCAAACGCAACCGGAAGAATTAGTTAGAGAAGGACAAACAATATGTCTATCCTTCTCTAACTCATTCTTCCGGTTGCGTTTGCGATTACGATTCTGGTTATGTTTCTATTCTGCTCAGGTCTTTAGGCAGAATAGATTCTTGAACGGGAACGCAATCGTAAACGGAAACGTGAAAATGAGTAACAGAAGGATAGCAAATATCTTTATTCTTCTTTTACTCATTCTTACGTTTTCGTTCACGATTGCGTTCCCGTTCAAGAATCTATTCTGCTTAAGCCTCACAGTAGCTCCCGAAAACACCCGTTGTGCTTAGGCCTTGAGCTGTGACTGTACCCTAAATGCCAACACAGTATTATAGAAAAGTAATCATAATCGTAAACGGAAGAATGGGTTAGAGAAGAATAGTCATATATTGTTGTTCTTCTTTTACAAATTATTCCGTTTGCTATTACGATTCCGGTTACGTTTCTATTGTACTTAGACCTTAAGCGATTTGCACTTAAAATTGAGACTTATGCCGTTTCTAAATTGGGATTTTTAGCGCACTTTTGATAAAGTGTATACTCGGGATGTATGCAAAGACCTTGTTTTTCCGTGCGAAAAAAGGACACTGCATACTTCCCGAGTATATACACTTTATCAAAAGTGCGCTAAAAATCCCAATTCAGAAACGGCATTGGCTTTTGATTGTTGTTGGGTGGGGAAAATCCAAAATGGCGATAAAGCGGTGCACAAACAAACATAAGAAATGTACGGGATGAAGTTGAATTTTTTTAATATCTCGCTTAAATGAAATTTTGGAACCTAGTGTATTACGATTTTAGTTTCTACTTTTAATAGCCTATTTAATACAATAATAAAGACGATTTTATTTTTTTAATAAATTTTATGAATGCCTTAAATAGGTAATTAAAAATAGAAACTAAAATCCTAATACACTTAGATTCCAAAATTTCATTTAAGCGAGATATTAAAAAAATTCAACTTCATCCCAAATATTTCTTAAGTTTGTTTGTGCACCGCTTAATAGCCATTTTGGATTTCCCCCCCACCTAAGTTGAACAACCTAATTAGACCTTTTCATGTTGATCGTTCTGTCCTTATCTAGCGCATACAATGATGCATGAGTTGAAACAGGACAGAATGATCATCATGAACAGGTCTATTGTAGAAGTTCCTTAAGAGAAAGACAGACACATATTATATCTCTGTCCTTCTCCAACTCATTCTTACGATTGCGATTCCAATTCTGCATCCAATAAACGTCCATTTTGAATTTTCCCCTACCAAAATTGAACTACCTTATATGTACATAAAGCATGGTATTATATGTGTATATCAAGATACGTGTGTAATGTATGTGATTGTGTGTATACGTTGCTTGTTTTCTTTAAATCAGATGTTTACCTGTCACTGTCATAAATGTATACTTTTTAATTTTTAAAAATGTTAAGATTTATTTTTACAATGAGATACTAAAAAAAAGTGGCCAATCATTTTATTCTTTGTTAAGTGACATCGATTTTGTATCCAGTTTCAGTTTGAAGGTGAAGCAACACTCATGATTCGATCTTCTCCTTTCTGAGAGACATAACCTTGATTTTAATGAATTCTCGATTTCGTATGTGTAGTAATTTTACTTCAACTTTCAATTAAATCACTGTTTTTGTCTTAATTATTGCTTATTTTGAAATCTTGATTCCCACTTGATTCAGTGTGTGCTTAAATATCAAATGAAGATATTTTTTAAAAAAAAAAGTATATTAAATTGTTTTCTTTTTCAATGTAATCAGATATGGCAGTGTCGATAAATGAAATTTGTGAAAATACAAAATTAGCGAGAGAAATGGCTTTAACTGGTAACTACGACACGTCTGGAGTTTATTATCAAGGAGTAGTTCAACAAATTCACAGATTACTTGCCAGCATTGTGGATGTAACTCGTAAAGCAAAGTGGCAACAAGTTCAACAACAAATTGTTCAAGAATTCGAAAAAGTTAAAGCTACTTCTAATACTTTGCAACTTTTTAAAGTGGATTCTCAAACGGAACGATTGTTGGGTAAATATAAAAAAAAAATTGGACAAGTGCAAGTTGCACTCGCATTAATTCGAGGGTTCCGTACAACGGCAATAATAAACTCTTTTTTTATATTTAAATCGGACTCGCTATATTTTTCCTGTAATCTACATGTAAAAATACGTATGTGTATTAAATTGCAGTTCTTCATATACAGTAAAACCCCGACTTACGCTACCTCGTTTTACGCGTATTCAGAGACCCTGGCGGATTGGTTCAAGCGTATTTTGAGCGATTTCGCTTAAAAATCGCTTAAATTCGCTTAGAGTGAAAATTTATCGATAAATTGTTAAAAAAAATGATATAAATGTGAAAAATAAAGATAAATTAGTGTTTTTGTAGATGATTTGTAGAAAAATTGTTATAAATTAAACATTAAATAAAAAGTTATTAATGTTTAAAGTGATGTCGATAAAGTGTCAGTTTGAGTGTGTTTTCTTTTATTAATTTTGAAGAGAAATATGTGAAATGTGATAAAAATGATAATTTTTGTCAATAAATTATTACTTATAATATTAATTGTAGTAATTTTCGCTCTTATTTAGTGTTAAAAAAGCTAATAATTGTATAATTAACATTAATTTTGTAATTTTAAAAAATGATTATTTACTAAAAAAATTTTTCTGCAAATTCATTATAACAGGTAAACCGGTAAAATCACACATTGTAAAATACACTATGAAAAATTAAACAATTATAAGCTTTTTTAACACTAAATAAGGGCGAAAATTACTACAATTAATATTATAAGTAATAATTTATTGACAAAAATTATCATTTTTATCATATTTCACATATTTCTCTTCAAAATTAATAAAAGAAAACACACTTAAACTGACACTTTGTCGACATCACTTTAAACATTAATAACTTTTTATTTAATGTTTAATTTATAACAATTTTTCCACAGATCATCTACAAAAACACTAATTTATCTTTATTTTTCACTTTTATATCATTTTTTTAAAACAATTTATCGATAAATTTTCACTCTAAGCAAATTTAAGCGATTTTTAAGCGAAATCGCTCAAAATACGCTTGAACCAATCCGCCAGGGGATACGCGGTTTTTTTTATGGTCGCGCGAATTAACTCGTAATTAATTAATAAATAATTTATTATTGTTTTTTACGTTGTTTTTTATTCATAAAAATGTAAATAGTTTTCTTACTTGATATTTTATTAAACATATTTCTTCTAAATTCTAAATTATTGTATTTATTTTATATGAAAACTTAAACCCCAATTTACGCGAAATCGACTTACACGATAGGTGGGACCGAGCGACGACCGTTTAAGTCGAATTCGCGTAAATTGGGGTTTAAGTTTTTATATAAAATAAATACAATAATTTAGAATTTAGAAGAAATATGTTTAATAAAATATCAAGTAAGAAAACTATTTACATTTTTATGAATAAAAACAACGTAAAAAACAATAATAAATTATTTATTAATTAATTACGAGTTAATTCGCGCGGCCATAAAAAAAACTGCGTATCTCTGAATTCGCGTAAAACGAGGTAGCGTAAGTCGGGGTTTTACTGTATAGAAATTAAAGGGGGGGCAGGGTCATTTTTTGCAATTTTTTCGAAAAAAAGGTTTCTATCCTTTGTAGCTTCGAAACCATCAGTACATCTATCACACAAAATAAAATTTAGTTTCAAAACAACTGTAATAAGCAGTGTTTGCGAGTTGACCATTACAGAAGTTTCAATTTCAAAGCAGAAAGAAGTTTTAAGTGCACTAGAGACAATTCACAGATCTTTTGAATTTTCGATGAAAATACATCAGATTTTGACAAAATTTATGAGCTTGAAAATCATTTTAAGGGCAGATCAAAGTCGATGCTTTTTTCCCATTGAAGCTGTATTTAAAAATTGCATCGACTTTGACCTATCTTTAAGAATAGCACAACTAAAAAACAAACAATAATAACAGACTTCTTTCATTAAACTTAAAGCAATAAAAAAAATTTATATTTGTTAAATAAATAATTATATGAAATTTCTTATTACGTAAAAGTGAAACTTTAATTAACAAAACCTTTATAAATCTCTACACGGAAAAAAAATAAATATCAAATTTTATAAAAGCATTTTTAAATTTTGTAAAAGTATTTTCAAGTCGTGGAAAAAAATATCAAAAGCCCAAATCAAATCCTAGTAATATAATTCGGTTTACATGAAGTTCTGTTAAATAGAAATTTCTTAAAAAATGTAAATTCATTTTTCCAGAAAATTTAGTTTATAAAAAATTTATTTAAAAAGTTAGGCCTCAATCAAGTTTCAATAAAAAAATTTAAATAAAAATCTTTAACAAAAAAAAATTAAATTCAATAAGAGTTTATAAAAATTATTAATTTTTGTAGCAACTAATTGTTTATCATATGAGGAACCAACACGTGATCCTGTTTACTGGTCTGGTGGAAGTTCTAGTGCTTGGGGTCAATCAAATCTTCCTCGGGATCCCGATGTTTGGCCACCTTTAACACCAGCAGAACAAAAGTATTAATTTCGAATTTTATTTTTGTAAATATATTGAAGAATATTGATTATTGATGAAAAACTTTCAAGGCCTCTTATTTTAAAAATATTTATTATTACAAAGAGGTTTTTTTTTTCTAGAAATTTTAAACCTCAAAAAAATCAGCCAAAACTCCAACAGAATCGATCAGGTTTACGCAAACCCGCAATCACTACGGGGAAAAAGACTGATGTAAAAACTGCCAATAAAAAAGACGACAAAAAGCCAGTCAAAAAAGATGAGTCCAACAAGGTAAATATTAAATATTTATTGCTAAATTCTATCAATATTTTTAAGGATTTTAAAGAAATTTTTAAATCTTGGAAAACAAATCTGCAATATTATAAATACTTTTAAGTTGCTTTAATTTTCTAAAAAAAATTTTCTAAATTTTTAATTAAAAAAAAAATTATTTTTGAGTATTTTGAAGTCGAGGTAACTCTCTTTTTTTTAAAGGATAAAACTGAAACTGAAAAAGCAGAAGAAGTTGAAGAGAGGAAATTCGAACCATCTGGAATGGATAAAGATCTTGTTGATGTATTAGGTATGTTTAAAAAGAATGTTAGGTTTTTTTTAAATATTTAAAGTTATAGAGAAACTTAATATGTTTTGTAAATATTTTAGAAAGGGATATTGTCCAAAAAAATCCAAATATTCATTGGGATGATATCGCTGATCTTCATGAAGCTAAAAGACTGTTGGAAGAAGCAGTTGTACTTCCTATGTGGATGCCAGACTTTTTTAAAGTATAAAAATAATAAAATTTTAAATATTGCATTAGTCAATTTTTATAATTTCTCTCTATTTGTTTACTATTATTCTTTGATATTTAATTACAATAATTTTTTTATACATAATTTAATAGGTAATATACATTTTTATTTTATTTTATAAAATTGTTAATCTTAAAATCTGATAAATTATGTTTTTTATATTAAAGAAAAGTTTTTAATTATTTTGAAATATTAATATAAAAATAATTATCTTTACTTAGGGAATTAGAAGGCCTTGGAAAGGCGTTTTGATGGTCGGTCCACCTGGTACTGGAAAAACAATGTTAGCTAAAGCTGTTGCAACGGAATGTGGAACTACTTTCTTTAACGTTTCGTCTTCCACTTTAACGTCTAAATATAGGGGCGAGTCCGAAAAACTAGTGCGATTACTTTTTGAAATGGTAAGTTGTTGAAGAATTTACATGTAACTTAGTATAATAAGATCAGTTCATTGAATTTCGTTTGAGAACTATTGTGGTCAAATTTAAAATATGATAAACTTGTACATCACAGATTTTGTGAAATTAAAATTCAATTAAAGGAAAATTATTGACAGTTAGACAATGGCAGTGTTTTCGGCAAGCATTAGAAACGGTCATAGAAAGAAAAGAATCGTTCTACCAATACGATCAGTTTTCAATTTTGAGATTAAAACGATCTAATCGTAAAAAGAATCTAAAAATTACTTTACTGAGGGAGAGCTAATTGTCAGGGGCTATCTAATGATTTCTACCAAAAACACGATTAATTTTCCAAGAGTGGTATCAAAAGCAAATCGTAATACTCAGACGAAAGTCAATGGATTGACTTCTAGTATAAAATTTAAGGGCGCAGTCCCAAAATGGCGCGAATGCGTCATGAAACCTGCGTCCTAAATCTTTCTTTTCTAGTCTTATAGGTCTTTATTTTCTTTAATGATTTCTTTTTTCTTTCAGGCCAGATTTTATGCTCCCAGCACAATTTTCATCGATGAAATTGACTCATTGTGTTCTAGACGAGGCTCAGAATCCGAGCATGAAGCTTCGAGACGAGTCAAATCTGAACTTCTTGTTCAAATGGATGGAATTAGTTCAAATAGGTGAACATAATTTTTTTAAAAAATAAATTTACTCTTTCGATTATAAATTTCCTTTTCATTAATTTTATCTTCAAAAAACAATTAAAGAGGGATTCCTCTTACATATGGGCGCTAAATTATTCCTGTTTATTTGAGAGGATTTTCCTTTTTTTATCATTTTAGAGGAATAATTTTAAATAAAGAAATATTTTTATTCTATCTCTATTTTCTTAAACGTCACTTTATAAACAGGTTGAAGGTTTGCGTGAAAACATTCTTATTATTATTCTTTTAGTGAGGATCCAAGCAAAGTCGTTATGGTCCTTGCAGCTACAAATTTTCCATGGGATATAGATGAAGCACTTAGAAGACGTTTAGAGAAACGAATATATATTCCACTACCTAATGGTGAGTTATTTTTTTTTCTTAAATGAATTGATAACACTGTGTGACAAAAAAGTTTAGTAGTACTAAAAAATATAGAATATCATAAATTTTCCAAACATCCCCAAAATTTCATTTTACGGTCAAAAAACTGTTTTTTGATGTATTATTTTTTATTATTTCTTTTTAGATGAAGGAAGAGAATCTCTTTTAAAAATTAATCTTCGTGAAGTAAAAGTTGATGTTTCCGTAAATCTAAAAGAAATTGCAAGGAAACTCGAAGGCTATTCAGGAGCCGATATTACTAATGTTTGCAGGTTCGTATATTTTAATTAAAATTAATTTGAAAAAAATAAATAAAATTAGTATGATTCCATAAAATAAAAAGCAAAAATAATTAAAAAGTTTTAAAAATATTTTTTAAAAAAAATTTTAAATTAAATTGAAATTTGATGAATTTTTAGAGACGCTTCCATGATGTCGATGCGAAAGAAAATTGCAGGTCTGAGACCCGATCAAATAAGACAGTTACCAAAGGAAGAACTGGACTTGCCAGTATCTGCAGAGGATTTTGACGAAGCTGTTGAACGATGCAATAAGAGTGTTTCGCAAGAAGATTTGGAGAAATATGAAAAATGGATGAGTGAATTTGGATCGTCTTGATACAGTGGCTTCCAACTTCATTAAATGTCCGAGAATCCCATTTTATTTCCTAATTGCCTTAAAAAAAATAATTGTATTAATTGTTCCCGTGTAATATTAGAATAATAGAAAATTTAAATTCAACGTAATAATTTAGGTTTTGTAGAGCTCAATTCAACGTCTTTTTGGACGATATTTATTTTTATTATTAAAAAAATATATCTATTAATACACTGATTTATGCACAGTTTTTTTTTGATTTTATTCTTTAAAGATATATCTCTGTTTCTTTTTTTTAAAAGAATAATTTTAAATCGATTTAGATTTATATCTTCATTTTGCAAATGATGATAACATTTTTTTTTTAAATAATTCTAATTCGTTAACATGAAAACACCAATACAGAAAAATACTTTTTGTTACAATGTGTAAATAAAATAGTTAATTCGTTAATTAAACATTTAATGGCAATTTTTTTTAAAATAAAAATATATTTTAGACTCCTAATGCGTTATTTATAGAAAAATTTTTATTTTATTTGAAACTGAATTATTATATTTTTAGATATTTTCTTTTAGCCAAAGTTTACATTTGACAAAATTAATTAATTTACTTTAATACAAAATTACATTTCTTCAAAACATAAAAATCACAAATTAACTTAAAGTTATGAAACATTTTTAAAAAATGTTAATAAAATTTTTTTTGGTGTCGATGTCGCTATTGGAAATTTGTTAACTTAATATAATAAAAGATGTTTAGGTTTGAAATAAGAAATTATAAAATTTTTAAGTTAAAAACAATTGATTTGAATGACATTTAAAATCAGGTACAATATTATAGGTTCCTAACAAAAAATTTGCATAACAACAATAAATAGCAAAAAAAAACCATTAAAAAATTGGTAAAAAATTGAAAAAAAATTTTGGATTTGAAAAATAGTTTTGGAGTAACTTTTCAAAAGAAGAGTAATTTTATAGGTAAAAAAATGGCTTAAAATTGCAAAATAACCCTTTTTAGGGTTAAAATTGAATTAATTATAATATTAATTTTTAAAAAACGTTTTTAACAAAAAACAAATATTTTAATATATTAATTTTTTTTACCAATTTTTTCAAAATTTCAATTATTTAATGAAGTAATTAAAAATGATTTCGAATCTTGAGAATTTTTATAACTTAATTTTTTTAAAAATATTTAATACGTTTTTAAAACCCTATTGTAAATAATATGTTTAAAATTGACTTTGATTTCGTATTAAATATTTTGCAAAGAATCCGTATTAGAATAATTTCTATAATTCACACTAAAAACTAAAATAAAAAAGATACTAAATTTTTTTCAATTTTACTGAATATTGTCTGAAACAAATCTTATTTAAAAATTATAAAATAAATTAAATATTGTTTATTGAATATTTATAATTTTCGTGGTATTAATGGAAAAAAACGATATAAATGAATTTAAATTTGCCGCCAAGGTAAATTTCGATTACGTTCGGCTTCGATCGACTAAACACGAGTATTCACGAATATATCCGAGTTAACGCGATTCACCACTTGTCCGCCATTGTTGATTATCACATGCTTATCGCTGAAAAAATGCTCTATACGAAATGAACGAAAATAATTTTTTTAAAAACTTTTCAGGTTCAATTTATTCATGACATGCAAATATTAATTTAGTTTAGATATCGGTACATTAGTTTTCAATTTTAATGTCGTTAATTTTTCTTTTAAAAGTGATATTAATCGGTAGTGTTGAAAACTAACCTTGTCAAAGTTTTATGATTTTGACGTTAGTTCGATATGGCGGTGTTTTTTTAGCGGATGTGTGCGTTAAAAGTTTTTGTGTTTTTAGTGTTGTTTTTGTTTTTTTTTTTTTTTAAATATTAAATAGTGTTCGAATTTTTTTGATAATGGAGGCAAGTGCGAGTACCGGGACTCGTGCGACGCGTTTTATGATGGAAGGTGTTGGTGCTCGTGTTATTCGAGGACCAGAATGGAAATGGGGAAAACAGGTTAACATTTAGGTTATCTTATTTAAAACACTTGGATTTAATGATATTTTATTCGATAATTGTTTCAATTTTTTTTCAATGACAACTAGTTATTATAATTTCAACACTAATGACAAACATTTTTTTTATAATGTCAATGGAATAATTGTCATTTGGAAAATTTTACGAGACGAAAATAAAGAAAAAAATGCCATTATGATTTTGTTTTTTTTTTCATTGTTGTAAATAATTTAAGATTTCTGGTCTGTATGAAATTTGTTGAGTATTTTTTCTGTTTGTTATATTTATTTTAAGAAATTGTGATTAAGTGTTTACATGTAGCAACTTATTTTTTTTTCGCTTTTGTTTGATATTTTAGTATTTTGAAAAACTGAATATAAAAATGGAAAAAAAATGAAAGAGAGAAATTTTATTATAAAATATATTATAATTATTATTTATTTATAGTTTATCGTATTTGAGTTGATTTTAACGTTTTTTTCTTTGCCCAGGATGGGGGTGAAGGCCACGTGGGAACGGTGCGAAATTTTGAATCTCCAGAAGAAGTGGTGGTAGTTTGGGATAATGGAACAGCAGCTAATTATCGTTGTTCAGGAGCATATGATTTGAGAATTTTAGACTCAGCTCCAACTGGTGTCAAGCATGATGGCACCATGTGCGACACATGTCGTCAACAACCAATTTTTGGCATACGATGGAAATGTGCCGAATGTGGAAATTATGATTTGTGTTCAATATGCTATCATGGTGACAAACATCATTTAAGGCATAGATTTTATCGAATCGCTACTCCTGGTAGTGAACGAGTACTTCTCGAACCACGGAGAAAAAGTAAAAAGGTGAATATTTCATTTTTAATTAATTTTGTTTTTTTTTCCAGGTGAAAGTGATTCTTACGAAAATCGTTTAGAATTTCTACAGATAAGTGGTTGAATTTAAAAAGAAAAACTCAAAAATTACGAAAGTCCTTTCAAGAAACGGTCGAAATTCGTATAATGTCAGAGGGACTATCCAAGTATCTCAGAGAATATAAAAATAATAAGAGCATAATCGTTGTCTGGAAGTCTGAATTGAAAAATAATTGTTTAATTAGAATATTGAATAGTGATTATAATCCTTTATAAAAAAGTATTTGCAGTAAAAATAAAGAAGAATGAAATTATTTAAAATTTAAAATAAAATTAGAGTAATAAGCAAACTAAGATTAACAAATAAATCTAGATTAAAAATTTATCACAATGGAAATATATGACACCGATGTGAACTGCACGATCTGCAATCTGCACAGTCAAGAAACATTAGCACATTTTCTATTATATTGTCCAATATACAATCCAAGCAAATTTATAGAAAAATATATTGACAAGAATGTGTGTATAAATGTCGAGGAAAGTAGATAACTGAAATCGCTATTGTTAGTCGATGATAAAGGAAAATAAAATAGTATATTATATTATGTGATTAACGCGCTCAAAATTAGATCATTTATAATTAATGAATAATAAGGCTTAATCAATGATTTAAGCTATACTGGAAGTTACTTGTAATAGAGAAATTAATACAAATGAAAATTTATCTCTTTATCTATTGGACGAATGTAAGATTACAAAAACTGGACTAGGGTTTTTAGAAGGAGAGCCTCATAAAATCCATATAATATTGAACGAAGAGGATGGAGTAGAAATAAGTAGAGGTTTTAAAAATATTGTAAATAAAAGTAAAGGAAAAGGAAGAACAAATTGCTTATATTTAGGATAAGATAGAATAAAAGGTAAAATAACATTAAATGGATTGTAAAAATAAAAAGTAAATTTACAAAAAATTGAACGTGAATTTAAAAAATTTACCGTATATAGTACGGATAAAATTATATTTGAATTTCAGTGTGGAATATTTTTTTTATAAATTCTGTTTTTACGAATTAAACCGCACGAATTAGGATTAAATTACAGACGAATTCTGTTTCAAAACGTCACATGAATTCTTATAAGAATTTAACACGAATTCTAAACGATTTTCGTATGAATTATTTTGGTTGGCGAAAAATTGAATAAAATTTCTTTATTTGTTCAAGGAAAGCCAACAATTTACAATATATAGTAAAATATAATATAAAAAAGTAGCATGCTTAAAGTAAAATAAAATTAGATTTTTAAGGTAAAAAAATGTACCCTCTAAATCTGTATTTGTCGTTTTCTACTAATTAAACACTTTAGATTGGTTTATCGATTCCATAAAAAGGATTTTCACTAATTTTTAGTAGAAAATTACCAATTTATTAGTAGAAAAATACTAATTTGATAGTAAAATATCTATTAATTGAAATTGTAATGTAACTTCCCTATTTCAATCAATAAATATTTTACTATCAAATTAGTAGTTTTCTACTATTAAATTGGTAAAATATTAAAATACAAAATACAATTTCATAATCTTAAATTTCGAAAATTTTTGAAAACATTATTCAAAAATATTTTGTAAAATAAGTCGAAAAAATAGTCTTTTATCAAAATAAGTCGAAAAAAAGTTGCATTTCAAAAAAAAGTGAAAAGAAGTCGAAAAAGTCGTACAATCCGAGGCATGTAAATAGTAAAGGAAAAAATATGACAAATATTTCAATTAAGTTTAATTTAATTTTGAAAAAAATCGAGGCGGCAACGTAATTTTGAAACGAAAGTAAAATTGTTAAGATTAAAATATAAAATTTGTTTTTAGATTGCTATTCGAGGAATATTCCCTAGTGCTCGTGTAGTACGGGGAGTTGATTGGCAATGGGAAGATCAGGACGGTGGAAATGGTCGTCGCGGTAAAGTAAATGAAGTTCAAGATTGGTCTGCTGCCAGTCCACGTTCAGCAGCCTATGTAATTTGGGACAATGGTGCAAAAAATTTATATCGCGTTGGCTTCGAAGGAATGGTATGTCCTTTAAAATGCAACACAATATTCTTTAATGAAAAATTACAAATTATACCGTAAAAAAAAACTAAATTTATTTATTTTTAACAAAAAACAGGCTGACTTAAAGGTCGTAAGCGATGCAAAAGGTCAAACTGTATATAGGGATCATTTACCTCTATTGGGCGAACAAGGTCCAGGACGAACGGGCCCTCATGGTTTGCAGATTGGTGATCAAGTTAGTAATAATTATATTTTATTTTTTTTTCGACAATATTTTTTATTACAAATGTTAAATTTATTTTTTTAAAACCTTTTGTCAAAATATCTTTATCGCAGAGACATTATTATCTATTAATTTGTTGGAAATTCTAGTTTCGAAATTATGAAACTCGAATTTCTATATTACCGAAATTCACAAAGTAATATTTATATCAAATTGAATTTTCAGAAGAATTTTTATTTAACTCAATTCATAATTAAAGTGAATTTTCATTTAGTCGAACTTTTACAAGATTTCTAGTTGATCGAATTTTCATTTAATATAATTTCTATTTAACAGAATTTATATTTTGCAAAATTTTTCATAATACAGAATTTTTAATTAACATAATTATTCTTTAATCTAATATAAATATGTAATTTTGATTGAATTTTCAATTATCACAATTTTTTACATAGAATTTACATTTAATAAAAAAGAACAAAATTAAAAAATGTCAGGGAAAAACACAAAATATTGTTTGGAAGTTAGGAAAATAAAATTATAATAAAAATGTTGTATTAAAATTGATTTAATTGTATTTTCATGTAAAAGAATTCCAATTCAACCAAATTTTCATTTAAAAAAATTTTAACTGAGTCGAATTTTTAAATGCAAGAATTCTTATTTTAGCAAAATTTAATTTACCAGAATTATTATTTGTACGAATTGTCATTTGATAGAAATTTTGAAGATGCCGAATTTTCAAATTGCTAGTGACCGAACAAATATCCTGAATATCCGTCACAATTAGAGGGAATTTTAAAATTAATCACAATTATTTGAATTCATTTAAGTCAAAATTCTATTAAATATTAAGTGTTTTATTTTTTATTGCAAAATAAAAATTGTGTTAAATAGAAATTATATTAACTAAAATTTCGGTGAAGTTATAAATAAAAAATGAAATGAAAACGAATGAAAAAAAATATTTTGAAAAATTAAATAGAAGCAGAAGCGGTAATAAAAATGAAAAAAAAAATGCAAATATTGGAGAATGTTTTGTTGAAATTGGATTTTTTTTTGTCCATAGGTAAATGTTGATTTAGAATTAGAAATTGTTCAATCACTGCAACACGGACATGGCGGTTGGACAGATGGAATGTTTGAGTGCCTGGGTACCACTGGGACTGTTGTCGGTATTGATGAGGATCATGATATTGTTGTTTCATATCCTAGTGGTAATCGATGGACATTTAATCCTGCCGTGTTAACCAAAGTTCAAATACCAGTGCCTGTAACCAATTCCAATACCGATAATCAAACTTTTGCTGTTGGCGATTTAGTGCAAATCTGCAATGATATAGAGAAAATTAAATTGCTACAACGTGGACATGGAGAATGGGCCGAAGCCATGGCACCAGTAAGTTCATGAAAATAACTATACAATTTATTCAGGTTATTGCAAAATCGATAAAAATTATTCTTTTAAAAATTGGTAAAGATAATTAAAAAAAAAAGTAATAGATTTTTTGAACAAACTTTTTAAAAATATTTTACACAGAATTTATTATATTGTGTAATTTACTATTCAGAATTTATTATCTGGAAAATTATGGAACAAAAAACGCGAATTTTTTTTTTAGTTTTTTCTTCATACAAACTATTATTTAAAACAAGAACGAAAAAATTTACTATCAAAATTTTACGTAAAAAAGAAATGTGCGCTTCAATTCAATAAATTTAATTAGTTGATAAATGTTTTATTATTATTAACAATTTGTTATTAGAAATTAAATCAAATTTATTAATTCGTTGATAAGAATGTTTCACAGAAATATTTTCAAGAATTTTTCTTTTTAAACCACCGAATTAAACTGAGACAAATTTTTCAGATTTCAATTCATATTGAGAACAAATTTTCAAAAATAATTTAAAATTATATTTAAAAAAAAAAGAAAATTTTTCAAGTCTGATTTATGCACATTATTCGAATTTAGTATTTCGGAAAATGTTTTAAATAATTAAATTTTTCATGAATTTCATTAAAATATTATTGAAAAAAAAAATTAATTTTAAATGAAAATTTGTGAAATAATTGAATTTCAGAAGATTTTTAATTAAAATTTTAAAAATAATTGAATTTGGAAGAGTTTAATTTAAAATTTTTAGAAATAATTGAATTTCAGGAGATTTTCAATTAAAACTTTTATAAATTATAACTTTTATAAATTTGAATGAATGAATTTTTTTTTTACAAATTTCAGATAATAATGAGAATTTTCAACTAAAATATGTTCTAAATAATTGAATTTTGATGGAGTTACAGTTAAAATCTTTAGAAATAATTCCATTTTTTGAAATTTCAAAAATTATAATTTTGTTGTTAATATAAACATTAATTAAAAAACGATTTAAATAATTAAATTTTTGAAAAATTGAATTAAAACTGTTAAAATAATTAATTAAACAAAGAATTATATATATAAAAATTTGGGAAAAAAATTTTCAATTGAATTTACATTCAATTAATTATTCACTTACTAATTGAATTTGGAAGAGTTTTATTAAAAATTTGTTTGAAAGTAATTAAATTTCAGGAGATTTTAAATTGAAACTTTCATAAATTTTCACAAACTTTAAAGAATAATAGGATTTTAGAGTATTTTTAATCAAAAAGCATTTTATTTCCCTGAATTGTTAAAAATAATAAATAAGTTATTAACAAAATTAATTTAGCGAAGAATTTTAAATAAAATTTTTAGAAATAATCAAATTATAGAGAATTTTAGAGAATTTTCAGTTACAAATGTTTTAAAAAATTTAATTTTTGATTTTTGATGTTTGAAATTTTGAATTAAAATTTTAATAAACTTGAATTATTGAAATTTTCTAAAAATTATATAAACAAAAATTTAATTTTAAAGAATTAATGATTAAAAAACGTTTTATGTAATTGGATTTTTGAAAACTGTATTAAAGTTATTAGAATTAATTAATTGAAAAAGAGATTGAAGTTAAAATTTTTAGAAATAATACAGTTTTGGAAGAGCAATGGTAATAATTTTTGGAACTAATTGATTTTCAGGAGATTTTTAATTAAAAATTTTGTAAATTGGAATTTCTGTAGATATTTTATAAACAATAATTAATCTTTGGAGAATTTTAAAAAAGGAATTTTTTTTTAAATAATTGAATTTTTGAAAATCTTGATTAAAATTATTAAAATTAAATTATTCAACAAAGAATTTTAGATACAAAATTTAGTAGTGATTGTATTTTAGAAGAGTTTGAGTTAAAATTTTCATAAATTATAATTGAATTCCAGGAGATTATTAATTGAAACTTTTATTTTGAATTGATGAAAAGATTTTTGAAAAACTTTAGATAATATTTGATTTTTAGTGAATAATTTTCAATTGAAAATTGTTTTAAATCATGTACTTTTCGAAGAATTTATTTAAAATTTTTGAAAATAATTGATTTTGCAAACAATTCAAGTTAATAAATTTTGTTAATAATTCAATTTAAAAAAATAAAAAATCGAAAAAGTGCAATCCGAGGCATGTTATTGAAAAACTCTTGAAATATTTTCATTAAGGTTAGGAAAAAAATTTTTAATTTTCACTGGAAATATTTTCGTGTCAATCGTGAAATTAAAGACTGAATGCCAATATAAAACTAAATATACGTTTTCAAAAAAGTACTATAAAAAACGGATTGTTTTAAATTAATAGGTAATTGTTTTTGTAAATGAAAAAATATATTTTTCACGTCTAACTTTCTGCTAAGGAGTGCGAAGCCTGCTAGTATTATTTTTTTATTTGACTGACTTTTACACAATTTCTTTTAGACTCTTGGCAAAATTGGAAGAGTACAGCAAATTTACCACGATGGTGATCTCAAAGTTGATGTTTGTAGTACAGCTTGGACTTACAATCCTCAAGCTGTAACTAAAGTTGCGAGTAGCGATGGCAGTGTACCAGGAAATAGTAGCGGAGGTTTGTTATTAAATCATTGTTATTATTTCATTGATATTTTTATTAATTTGATTTTACTTTAATTAAACGTATCTATTTTACTTTTTAATAAAAATTCCTTTTTTATTTATTTAATTTATATTAATATTTAAATTAATATTTATTTAAAAAAAATTAATTTAATTTGTAGTAATTGATAATAAATTAAAATTTCAGAACGCTTATCAGCCTTATTAAAAAAATTGTTTGAAACCCACGTTTCTGGAGATGTTAATGAAGAGCTGGTAAAAACAGCAGCAAATGGTGATGCGACAAAATGTGAAGAGTGTCTAAAACGACCAGAGGCTGATGTGAATGGTGTATTTGCTGGTCATACGGCACTACAAGCTGCAAGTCAAAATGGTCATTTAGAAGTAATAAAAATTTTACTTCGCTACAAAGCCGATGTCGAAATTGAAGTATGTATTCTATTTTTTAATTTCTATTTAATTATTAATCCTATTTTTCATCAATGAAATATTTATTTCTTTATCAAAGAAAATAATAATTTTTGAATTAAAAACTAAAATTTTCCAACAATCTATGCTTTTCAAAATTGTTGATTTTTAAAAAGACAATAATTTTGTAATATTACAACTTAAAAGTTGATTCTGGTGAAAAATTCCAGACCTGGAATTTTTCACTACATTTTATTGTAATTTTTCATCGAAACTTTATTTGTCAGAATTGTCATTTGAGAGAATTATCCAATCACCAAATATATTCATTTGACCGAAAAAAATATTCGACAGAAAAGTGTTGGCGCGAATTTTAAAATTAACCAATCATAAATTGTCAAGAAAATTTTTTCACAAAATAATTTTGATAAATTATAATATACTTATAAGTAATTACAAAGAAATAAATAAATTTCTTGATAATTTTGATGTTTATGAAAACAAATTGTTAATAAAAAAGAGACATAAAGAATAATAGCAAAAATCATTTTTTCAGTTACAAAAAATATCGAAGGTAAATTTTTTAGCGCTAAATTAAAATCTGATCTGAAAAATAGTGTAGGATTCTTTATAACTTGAGTTGAAATGGTCAAAAATGTTCATTTTAGCAACATTTATGAATTTTTTATGGACACATGATTATGTCCCATAAAAAATCATTAATTAGAATTTTTATTTTACAGTATTTTATTAGAAACAAATGATTTTTTAGGAGAATTTTCATTTTACAAATTAAAATTTGACAGAATTTCTTTTTATACGAATTTTTACAACATAAAATGTTTAGCTATCGAATTTTTGTTTGTCAGAATTTTTATTTTATATATAGTCATTTAATTTACATGACTTTATTTAAGATAATTTTAATTTAATCAAATTTTAATTTAAATTAATTTTAATTTAACTGAATTCAGATTGAATCGAATTTTTAAATGGCAGAAATTTCAATTCACCGAATTTTTATTTGTACCAATTTTGAACTGATAAAATTTTTAAGACGCCATATTTTCATTTCTTCGAAATTACGAAAATGGCAGAACAAACAATCTACAGAAAAATTTCGGGGCAATTTTTAAAATTCTGACCAATTGGAAATTATCAAGAAAATCGTGATTGGTTAAATTGAAAAATTGCGCCGAAATACTTCTGTCCATTGTTTATTCAGCCATTTGTAATTTCGGTCAAATAAAAATTCGGCGTCTTAAAAATTTTATTAATTAAAAATTCGGACAAATTAAAATTCGGTGAATTCGAATTTCTGTCATTTAAAAATTCGAATCAGATAAAATTCGATTTAATGAAAATTCAGAATTCTGTTAAATTAAAATTAATTTAAATTAAAATTTGTTTAAATTAAAAGTCATTTCAAGAAAATGACTAAAATTTCTGTAAATTTCTGTCAAACAAAAATTTGGTAGCTAAAAATTTTGTTATGTAAAAATTCGTATAAAAAGATCTATCAAATTTTAATTCGAAAAATGAAAATTCGTCTAAAAAATAATTATTTCTAATAAAATACTGATAATGATTTCAGCAGCAAAACCAAGAAAGATTTAAAGTCACGTTAGTCGTTTATGGGTTAAACATTGTGAATTCAAATGTATATATGCGTATATAACTCTTGTGAAAGAAATGAATCGTAAAGCAACGAATAAAATGGATTTAAAAGCTTAAGAGAACTACTATTTGATACAATTGTTGGAGATTATTAAAAAAAAATTTTAGTTTCCATGAAAAAATTCATAAATATTGTTATAAAAGACATTTTTTATCATTTGAGCTCAAGTTACAAAGAATTGTAACGTGCCATTTTTCATTTTAGATTCGGATTCAGTGAAAAAAAAAGAATCTACAAGAATTACCTCCGACTTCTTTTTTGATAGAAAAATAGGTAGAAATAATTAAAAAAAAAGAATGATTAAATGATAAAAATAATAGTTATTTGAAACTTACTTTTTATTCAAATTTTTATACCATGAATAAATAGAAAACTGGATGTTCAGCTTAATGAAAATTTTTTAGATAAAAATTCTATTAAGATTTAAAGTTTATTTTATAAAATTCTGTTAAATATTCCATAATTTTTAATTCAATACCTCATAAATTTCAATAAGTTCAATGAGGGGAGTATTCAAGCGTCCCATAATTTTAAGTAAGGGAAAAATGGGCTGGCTAAAATATTATTGGTTTTCACAAAAGAAGATGATGAGAAAAATGGAGGAAAATCTATTAGTTGGAAAGGGCCTCATTGGGTGCTTAGGACCCATCCCATTTTAGGGGTTTAACACGTGGGCTGTACCTCTCAACTTGATCTTCCATTTTCTTTTTTTTTACAATAATTTCTTATTTTCTTAATTTCTTATAATATTTTAATAAAGAATTATTATTAATCATGTTAAAAAATAAATATTATTATTATATTATTATTAATATGAAAATTAGTTAAATTTTATTATTTATAAAAATATTTGTTAATTAAGAAAAATAATTTATAATAATTAGGGGCGCATGATTATCTCATACAAATTATTAAAACGAATTTTTATTTCAAATAATTTTATCAGAAATAATTATTTTTTAGAGGAATTTTCATTTTTTGAATTATCATTTGATAGAATTTCTTTTTATACGAAGTTTTACAAAACAAAATTTTTAGCTATCAAATTTTTGTTTAGCAAAATTTTTATTTTACATTCATTTTCTTTACATGATTTTTTATTTAAAAGAATTTTAATTTAAACGAATTTTAATTTTACATTTGTCCGAAATTACAAATGGCCGATCCAAGAATTGACAGAAAAATTTCGGCGAAATTTTTAAAATTGTCCAATCACAATTTTCTTTGTTAATTTCTAATTGGCCAATTTTAAAAATTGAGCCGAAATTACGGACAAATGACAATTCGGTAACTTAAAAATTCTATTAATTAAAAATTCATACAAAAAAATTCGTTGAATTTGAATTTCTACCATTTTTAAAATTCGATTGAATAAGAATTCTGTTAAATTAAAATTCCTTTAAATGGAAATTCAGCAAAATAATAATTCGAAAAAATCAAATTCGCGGCTTAATGAAAATTATATTTAATAATGAAATTCTATATTGAATGAAAATTCTAATGATTGATTTTTCAATTCATGCGAAAATGTAAATTTTGTTGAATAAAACTTTTGTTCAATCAAAATTTAGTTTTGAGAATCTATCAAAAAAATTGTTTAAATCAAATTTATGTTAAATAATTATTTGGTTGAATAAAAATGAAAATCCTGATTAGTATAAAAATGAAATAAATATCAAAGGAACAAAATTTTTTGTTTTAATAAAATAATGCAAATGTTTCATTAAGGTAATTTTTGAGCTTTGTTATTTTGTAAATTAGTTTTGGCATTCTCACTTAAAGTTTTAATCTGATTGCAGGACAAAGACGGTGATAGAGCGGTTCATCACGCTGCTTTTGGCGATGAGCCCGGTGTAATGGCTCTACTTGCCGGTGCAGGAGCAGATCTCAATGTACGAAACAAAAGACGACAAACAGCTCTTCATATCGCGGTTAATCGAGGCCACGTTGGTGTTGTGAGGACTTTACTTGAATTGGGCTGTCATCCTAGTCTTCAGGTTAGTCTCTTTCTATTCTTTTAAATTCTTAATTTATTACATTCCATTTTTTTTTATTCTTTCACAGGAAATTTTTATTGTTATCTTTTCTTTTCTTTCGAAATAATGATAATATTTTTGTTAGATTTATTTTATTTATTAATCCTTGTAAGAGTATTTTTTATACTGTTATATCCAAACATGAACAGAGGCCTCGGATTATAAGACTTTTTTTCGACTTATTTTAATAAGATGCGAATTTTATGACTTTTTTTTACATTTTTTTTTAATTTTTAAACAAAATACGTTTTTTTTTGTATAAAATGCAAATCTTCTTAAGATCTTTATTTCAATTATTTAACTAATTTTTAACTAAAATTTTTTTTCTAAATAAATTATTTTAAATAATTTAAAATAAAATTCTTTACAAATTCAATTATCTTAAACAATTTTTCAATTCAAAATTTTATGAAATTTAACAATTGTTTACAATTTTAATAAAACCAGCAAATATAAAATTACCAAGAATTTTAATTTAAAACCTTTAAAAATTTAATAATTTTAAAAATTTTCCATCTAAAACTTTTTGGAATTTAATAATTTCAATTATAACACCTCCGAAATATAATTATTTTAAATGATTTTTATAATATTCTTCGAAAATTCAATTATTTAAAAGCATTATTCAATTCAAAATTTTTGAAATTTAATTCTTGTCTGTAATTTCTAATAAATTCTTCATCAACGCAGATATCACCAAAAATTTCAATTAAAATTTTTTTAAAATTTATTAGTTTTAAAATTTTCTATCTAAAACTTTTTGAAATTTAATAATTTTAATTATAACTCTTCAGAAATTAAATTTTTTTTTTTAAAGATTTTTATAATTTTCTTCGAAAATTCAATTATCTAAAAGCGCATTATTCAATTTAAAAAAAAATTTGAAATTCAATTTTCGCCTCTGTAATTTCTAATAAATTCTTCAGTATAACAGAAATAACCGAAAATAAACGAAAATTTGAAACAAAAATTTCCTAAAGTTCAATTACTTTCAAAAATTTGAATTGTAAATTTTCGAAATATCAATTATTTGCAAATTTTGAATTGTAATTTGTTAAAAACTTATTTTTTTAAAAAATCTCAATGAAAATTTAAGCAAAAATTAAATTATTTTCTATGATTTTAGTTTAAAATTATCAAAAATGAAATTATTTACAAAAAATTTAGTTCAATTTAGCAAAAAATTTAATTTTCAAAAATTTTAATACGAATTAATAAAAATAATTTCAATTATAACTTCCGAAATACAATTATTTTTTATTATATTTTATATAATATTCTTCAAAAATTCAATTATCGGAAAGCATTTTTTAATATTAAAAAATTTTAAAGTTCAATTATTTTTGTTTGTAATTTCTAATAAATTTTTCAACATCAAAAATTTCAATTAAAAATTACTTGAAATTCAATTAATTTAAAAAATCTGAATTATAAATCTTTCAAAATTCAATTATTTTAAAAAAATTTTATGTAAAATTATTTGATAAATTATTTTTAATTCTGTAAAATTTAATTATTGTCTGAAATTGAACAAAATCTTTTGAAATTTAATTATTTCAACAAAAAAAAACTTCCAAAGTTCAATTATTTTTAATAATTTTAATATTTCTTTAAAAATTCAGTTATTCAAAAAAGTTTCAAATAAAAATTCTAAAATTGAGGAATTAATAAAATGGATTTAATATCTAATAACGTTATTTATTTAAAGTAAAATACTTATTAACTAATTAAATTTAATTAAAATAAAAAAATCGACTTTTTTTAGAATGTAAACCGACTGAAACGACTTTTTTTGCGTCTTAAAGTGGATCCGAGGCTTGTGAACATAAATAATTTAAATTGATTTTTTAGTCTAGACGGAATGTCTATAGACTTGGAACAACGGAATTAAATTTTCTTTTTTTTTTTTGGGAAATTAGTAATTTTGAATTTAAAAAATTAAAATTCTAATAATATTACTAAAATTTTATCAAAAAAATCAAACGGTCCCTACCCAGATAGCACGGAAACTTGCAGCAAGCTTGTCAAGCTTGCCGCGAAAGCTTGCTGCAAGCTTTTCTGAGCTAGCGAAATGTCCCACCCAGGGCAAGCTTGCCGCGAAAGCTTGCTGTAAGCTTTCCAGGAAAAGTTGCTGCAATCTTGCCATGAAAGATTGCTACAAGATTATTGCTGCAAGCATACGAAGAATGATTGCGGCAAGCTTGCCGTGAAAAATTGCCGTAAGCTTGCTACGTAAGGTTGCAGGAGAATTTCAACAAGCTTCTGGAAAGGTTGCTGCAAGCTTGCTGCAATTTTTAAAAAATACATTTTAAATTAAAAAAAAATTTATTTGTTTTCTAAATTTGAAAATCCTTGTGACGTTTATTATTATTAATTACGTCCTGTTTATTTTCATTTGGAAACTTAACGAGAAAATTTTCGAAACAAATTTGAGGGGACTGGGAATTGATCAATGTTATTATTGTTATATTTTATGAAATTTATTTAAAATATGAAAATACTTATTGAAAAGATGAATACAATTTTTTAAATGTATTAAACATTTGTTAATTTAATAATAATATTTATATATCATATTATATACTTACTTTATTTATCATTTTAATTTCTAGTATTAATTGCAGTTATTTTTTCAATATATCATAATTTTTAACTAATTAAATTAATTTTTTATATTTTAATTTAAAATGTATTTTTTAAAAATTGCAGCAAGCTTGCAGCAACCTTTCCAGAAGCTTGTTGAAATTCTCCTGCAACCTTACGTAGCAAGCTTACGGCAATTTTTCACGGCAAGCTTGCCGCAATCATTCTTCGTATGCTTGCAGCAATCTTGTAGCAATCTTTCATGGCAAGATTGCAGCAACTTTTCCTGGAAAGCTTACACCATGCTTTCACGGCAAGCTTGCCCTGGGTGGGACATTTCGCTAGCTCAGACAAGCTTGCAGCAAGCTTTCGCGGCAAGCTTGACTATCTTGCACGGTAAGCTTGCCGCAAGCTTGCTGCCAATTTCCGTGCTATCTGGGTATCGAATGGCAAATATTTTGAAAATTTCCCTTCCCTTTTAAAAAACGACTAACGCCATTCAATTCAGCGTATACTCGAATTAGGTGCCAAGTTTGTTCAAAAAAAGTTCTCGATTCGAGCACAATGTTATTTTTAATAATTTTTACAAAGTTCTTCTAAAATTCAATTATTTAATCTCTGTAATTTGTAAAAAAAAATCTTCAAACTTTGAAGTTTTTTGAATTTATCAGAAATGTTGGTACACATAATTTTTACATTTTAGAAACAAAATCATTAACGAATGAAATATATAATTTTAAAATTTTTGATTAGATTTTGTTTAATAACAAACTAGACAGGTGAAGGTGTAACCAGTAAATTTATTCACAGTTAGTGATTCGTCGACAGTTGGACAGTTGAGAAGTTTGGCAAGTGGTGGGCGGAATCGGATTTGGTGAAATATTGCGTTGCTAGAATACAAACATGCATAGGATATACGCAGAAAGTTGGTGAGAAGGGCCGAAAGGAGAAGGGACGAGGGTTGTTTATTTTATTCTTGAACTGTCTGAAACTGATATATTGGTTAGACCTCCACTTTCTACTCTCAAAACACCCCCCCCCATCGCTTTCTCTCTCTCTCACTCTCTCTTTCTCCCCCTATCTACCTCACACCTCTTCAATGATTTATGCTTTTGTGGAGCTTCGTAACCGAACAGCCCAGTTTTCTTTCCTTCTTCAGCATCGCCTCGATCTTCTTTTTCCTAGAAAACGTTCTGCCTGATAACGGCTACGCCAAATCCTCTTAATCCAGAGTAACCATTTTTTACTGTGGTTTAAGCTCAACTCGCTTTTATTCCCTGCCTTTCAGATTTTCTCTCTCTCTCCCTCCCTCCCTTCCTCTTTGCCAGTTATCTTGGAAAAAAAGTATACTAAAAGATGCATTATTCATAATATGAATAAATTTATTTCCACTGTTTGTTCATTAATATTTCAGTTAAATTTTTTTAATAATTATTAGAATATTTTTTTATAATAGACAATTGAAAGCATGTTTTAAATGAAGAGTTTAATCCTCAATTAATTTTTTAAAACGTTGAATTCCAATTTTTAATGTGCATTAAAATTTATGAGATCTAAAAAGGGAAAAAAGACAAACTAAATTGAACCCAGTTTATACCTAAATACCAAAAATCACTCATTCTGGGTCATGTAAGTTCGGTAAGTCGTTCTTTTTTTGTTGTTTTCCAATGAATAAAGTCCCTTCCTCTATCAGGAATCTTGCGGTGATGAAGGTTAGTTTGCAACAACAATAAAACGATAGTTTGCTGAATTCTTTATCATTTCCGAAGTCGATTATCGGAAATTCTCATGAAATAACTTGGTTGTCGTGTGCGATGGAAATCTGAATTTGGTCAGCCAGTGTCGAGAAATGCGTTCCTGGAAATTTTCCCGCTCATCCTTATGGTTTTCGCATTCTTGTTAAATTATCGAGGTCATTAATCGGATTTAACATACGAATAGAATGAAAACAAACATCAGCAGATGATTTGGTATCATTTTTCCCAACCAGGTCGTGAAAAGGAATTAGGGTATTTTTAAAGAAAAAACTTTTAATTCAATATTTGGTAAATTCTTCCACAATTATTTAATAATTGATTTTTTCGATTACAAAATCAAACAAAAAATTAAAAATTAAAAATTAAAATTAAAAAAAAATTAAATTTACAAATCACCAACATGTTACATAAGAGTGATTGGTCAAACTAACTGAGCCGATGACAATTTTCGCGTTATGTATGTATACAGACGATAGGGTCAAAATGACACGCAATCAAAATATTATGAATTATAACGCATTTTTGCAATTTATTAAGCAAAGGGAAATAGTTATTTACTTAGAAACTGTACATCCCAGAAAATAAAAATCTATTCAGTATTTTTGAATCGGTAGGAAGCTG